TTTATACACGTAACGCAGACGCTTTTACATACAAAAGCTTTTTACATGCAAACGCTTTTGCACACAAAAACTTTACACAGAAGCTTATTAAACGCAGACGCTTTTACACCGAGAAGCTTTTAAACACAGGAGCTTTTTTTGCAAAGACGCTTTCACACACATTCTTTTAGACACAGGAGCTTTTTTGCAAAGAAGCTTTTACACACAGATTTTTTTTATGCAAAGAAGCTTTTACACACAGAATTTTTTACGCACAAAGCCTTTTACACGCGATCAAACCTCATTTCGTACGAAGGGGTTACGCCAGACCCAATTTCTGGCCAAGAAACAGAAAAGAAGGAAAAAGAAGATATAAATGAAGATGTGAAGATGTGAAAATGAGAAGATGTGAAAATGAGAAGATGTGAAGATGAGAAGATGTGAAGATAAGTGATGTGAAGATAAGAAGATGTAATGCTGAGAAGATGTAAAGATGAGAAGATGTGAAGATGAGTAGATGCGAAGATAAGAAGATCTGAAGATGTGAAGATGAGAAGATGTGAAGATGAGAAGATGTGAGGATGTGAGGATAAGAAGATGTGAAGATGTGATGATGTGAAGATGTGAAGATATTTGACAGACTCCACTATTAGAAGAACCCTTCGTTGAGACGCTCTCGGGAAAAACATCACAACATTATTTACATTCACCAATATAATTTGTTATAGCCGATTACGAATCCATATAATAGAACAAAAATATGGTACCAAATTGACCAATATTTGCATATTATTAATATTGGGATCTACCCCGCAAATCCGGGGCCACTCCAGGCATCAAGGTCATTAACATTTTTATCGGATCGAAGCCTATAGCCACGTTTCGGCCACCCCAGGAGCCATACCACCCCAATTTTACAAAAGCCAAATTCCGTTCCTAGAAAATTCGGCTTCCACGGAATTTGCGGGAAAATATCGGACATCATCATTAAGTCTCCAGAATTATCCCAAAAAAAAATCTGGGGGTGTCCGTATGTATACATATATATATCTTTCTTTATCTTTATCTATATATCTATATATCTATATCTATGTTTCTATTGTCCAAGTCCGCTATACCATATTTAAGAGTTTTCATGGTCATTTTTGAAGTCATTGATTTGATTGGTCGCACCTCAAATCATTCCAGATGCGAGCAGCAACTCACCCTCCGGTAACCAAACGTGGCCATGGAAAACCATCCATTTATGGCTAATTTTCCCATTATGACTTTTCCTATGAAAACTTGCATTCATAGGTGCTTTTCCATTGCAATGTGGTAAAACAATCTTTCAGGACCAGACTCGTTCTTGTGGCTGCGGAGTGGCACATTGTGCAGTTCCTGATTGTGCAGTTGGGTCTGTCTGGAAATCGGGGATAACTGAAAAATGCCACTTTAACGACGAATGTGATGACTAATCAAAAGATATTGATTTTGTTCCATGGCATCCCGAAGATTTCCAGGGTTTCCACCAATTTTGCCATGGTTTTTCCAATTTTTTAGACAAACCCACTATGCAACCCACTGTTCTCAGAGGTCACCGGGAAAATTTTGAGCCTGTTTTGGCGCCAAGCTCTGGCGCAGCGTCTTTGGCCGTTGGCCTTTCCAAATGTGGAGCGACCTTGTTGGTCTGTTGCCCGGTCAGGGTGATCCTGAAAAACTCGGTGTACCGAACGATATATGGGATTATCAGTAATGTATTAGTATACCTATAACGAATACTTCGAATAAATATTAATACTCCCATAGATGGTAAATAGACCTAACCACTGACTACAATATCCCGTTAGGGATTATGAATATATTACCATATATTCTCAATAGCTATTTGTTGGTTGACTATTATAGACATAATAATCCGGATAAACATGTAACTATTCATGGGGATAGTAAATGGTAATATTTATATCAACACAGGGACTATTAAATGGTAAGTAATTTAAGAGTTGACCATGGTTCATGGGGGATAAAACATGATCATGGTACATGGGACATCCCAACAACTATGAACATGGATTGATGACTATCCGATGAATATGTAAATATGGATTAATGTGGGCATATATGAGGGTATACAATCCAACTTTTTGCCCGTGGCAGATGCGGGGTGTTGCCATTGTGAACCAGTAGACAGTAGACTTAGCACGCCACTGGGCTCCAAAGAAGTGAAACTTTTGCCTGGCTTTGGCTGTGAAGCGTTCTGCAGTGTTCTGCCGTGCCAAAAGAAAATCACCAAATGGGTGTCTCTGAAATTGGGGTATACCGGCATAGTGATCAGATACAGATAGAGGATTGATAGTATACAGTATACCAATACATGATTTGTAGGGTATGGCAATACTATTTGATGGTATACTATCATGATCACTAATCTATATATATATATACCCTACAAATTACCATTTTGATAGTGATCATGATGATTCACCCAGACAGAGACAGAGGACCCATCCAACTTTGTTCTGCCTCTGGCCAGCCATGGACTAGACGAGGACCTGGGAATGCAAGGTCTTTATGGCCTTCAAACGGGGATTTCTGAAAACGGAGATCCCAAAGTCACCACATACAAAGTCTGAGCATCAGTGCTCACAGGTGGAGGGGATGCAGGGATGCCATACCTGCCAGCTGTGCGTTTGGAAAGAACTTCGGCTCCTTGGCCATCCAGCCTCCTGTCCTCCAACAAAACATGTGGCAATCCCTGTGCACAACTCCTGCCTCGGAGTAAAGATTGTCGTGGAAGCTCCATCAGCCTGCGGGACTTGACAAACATCACAGCTTTTAAAGAACATCAATAACAAGGTAAAACCAATTTATTGCTTTATGAAATTGGCTCACCTGGTTTATCATAACATAAACAAGAATGGGTTTATGGCCAATAACCAAGAATAAAGCATTCCAGTTTTGGTTTATGAAATTTGGTATACCCCTATGACTGGTATGATGTAAAATGGAACCACCAAAAATGTCAACGGCACAGAACTTGTGCGGAGCTCCCTTCACCGGGTGCCTGAATGCGCCCTGGTACCAGCAACGAACCTGTGAGTCAGAGTTACTGAGTGCTTTCGCTGCAAAAGCTGATTGGCACCAAACTTCAAACCATTTCTGCACCATTCAAACAGTATCTGGCTAAGATTTCCGTGACCGCGGGAACCCTTCCACACCTGGTGAAGAAGCCTTAGGTTGTTCCCAGCGTGTTGAATCTGGAATCTGCTTCCAAAAACGATTTGAAAACATGGGGGATAGCATAGCAAGAATGTCACACGAGCACTTGCGAATAACACACACGTGTGTCGTCACCAACAAGTATTGAGCAGTGGGGTAGTATAACTCCCGAACCAATCATCAAACAACAGCTGCTCCATTGAGTTTAGACTTGTGAGCATGTCCAGCTAGAACTGCCAATGCTATCCCTTGACAATGCGGTCTGTCAACGTCCTGAGACTGCCGCTATCCCAGGCACCACAGGATAGGCAGGAACGGGTCCAGCGACAAGCCTCCGTGATTCCATCATGGGGAAACATGGGAAACGTGGCCAAAGATCGACACTTGTTTGAGAACTTTTCAAACAACTTTTGATGCCAAAACATTCAGCCAAGTAGCTATGGCAACATGTTTTTATTTTAATAGAACTGGTTGGATAAATGGATGAATCCCTCACGTCATCCGCAAAGAATTTCACGCGCCGTGTCTCGACATGCTTGGCTCTTGTCGGCAACAACCTAGGCCCATATGGGAGAGCTATGCTGAGCCATGTTGGAAAACCAATTGCATTGGAATACACGACTACCACCAGTGAGTGGTCTGAGCAAACAATTCGAAATCTACACTTTGTATCCAACAGAATTTGGAGTTCGACTTGGCAAATTGGGTTCTCAAGATGCGTCGCATCCCAAGCGAAGCGGCGCGAAGCGGCGCGAAGCGGCAACATGTTTCACTTCTAAGTTCCCAACATGCTTCGGGAGATCTCCTGCGGCAACTTCTTGGGACAACAGCTGAAATTCTCATCATGCCACGTAAGTGCTCGGGAATGGAAATTTTAAAACGTATCAATTGTGAGCAAGCATTTTTGAAGCTCAACCGGCCCCCAGAGCAAACAACTTCTGGAAAATTGAAGCAGCTATGCCTGTGAACTAACAAAAGGCATGGCAAAAACCTGGTCTCCACTTGAACTATTTTGACCAAAATGAAAATAAAACAAATTGATTTCTGTCTTCTGCCGGTTTCTGGAACATTTACAATCAGAACAGTGAAATATCTAATTTTGTTGGATGTTGGGTGTCACAGCCTAGATTCAAAAATAAGTTGACACAACAAGTCAAGGCCGCGCCGCCGCCTGAGTAGGCCTCCATGCCACAGGAATCCTTGCCTCGGGAGGGTATGGGTCAAGATTATTGCCCAAAAAACAGTGGGATTCAGCTACAGCTAATGCCATCATTTTTTTTTTAGTATTTGGGGATGATTTCTTTATTTACTTATTTTCTGAAATCTTATTGTTATTTATGGTCAGTTCTTAGGCTTATGGCATTGTCTTTACCTCAGATGAATTTGTGGGTTCGCACCACAATGGCTTGACCCGCCTGGAAGCCTCTAGGGGATGGTCGCGGAGATGGGAGAGCTCCTAGCGATGTGCAAATGAAAGTCACGTCCGGAATCCTCATGCTGGGTATCTTTTGCAAAGAATATGAACGAAAAAACATCGGTATCCACCAGTATTGTTGGTTGACGTTCTAATTTTTTGGTGGGTTCTGTTCTCATTCATTGTTGCAAACTTCCCACGTTAAACCTTGGGTTTTCACTGATGGCATCCGGAACTATATTTCAACCGCTCCTGTCATCTGTGAGGCACACCTGCCGGCAGATCTGAAGACCATCTAAGACGAATGAGTTCGCTCAAAGTGATGCACTGGTCCCAATGCATCTACTTTCACACATTGCTGGAAGATTGAAACCGACTGTATGATACACTAGGAATCATTAAACAGTCATACCAGTCCCATACCACTCCAAATCAATCGCCTTTGTCCCCACAGATCTGCCAGGTCCTGGCCATAAATGGAGGTTTCCATGGGAAAACCATGGGAAAATGGGCAAATATAGGGGCAATCCCCCAAAAACAATAATTAAACACACAAACCTTTGATCCTTTGGACCTTTGGTTCAACCATGAATGAGACTCAAATTTCTCATGAATCTTCATGATCCCAATGCCTTTGTGAAACAACATGAACTTTCTCATCCCCTCCTGTGCACGTTGCAGCGCCTCTGACGGGCCTGACAAACAGCTGAGACACGGGATGCGACCACCATGGAACATTTGCAGGCCTTTCTACACACTTTGATAGCATAGTCCAGGCATACATATGCAGTATTGAACCAATGTTCTTCCACGTTTTGATTCCTGATGCAGGCTTAACTTGCACATGTGCATGAAATAGATACAAGTACGATTGAATAGTGATGATTCAGCTTGAGTGATATTATCCTCACGCTTTCTGAACCTGAACAGTCTTGAATCATCTCAAAACATGTTGTGCAATGATCCTTATGTTCACTTGCGCTTGTTGTTTCTTGAAAGCACTTTGAGCTCTAATCACCTTCGTCTGGGTTCCCTAAACCCTTTAAACCTACACTCTTACCAAAAGTGCGGTGAAACGACCCAATCTGTTAGTACCCATTCATCCCATAAATTAATGGTATAACCATAGGGTAACAAAAATGTGGTGAAATCTGATAGATACTGGATAGAACTGCATGAGTAATACATGATTGTGATTCATATTCCATTGATGGTACAATGGTAAATATATATATATAATGGTATATACTATATGTGTAACTATACACTATGTATATATATATATATACATAGTATTGTCATAAAGTATTTGATGGAATTGTCATAATATTTTAATGGTTATTATCATTGTCTGAATGGTTGTTGGTTCAATCATCAATGATGAACCAACCACCTGGAGCCGCCTGGTGGTCTTGGACTTGCCAAGGGAGTCATGGTCACCGGCGTCACGGTGTCACCTGGACTCGTTCGGAGAAAACGGCGGAAATCCCATGGGTTTCAGGGAAAATTCGAGGTGAACATGGATATAATTGGAATTGGATGGAAGTTTCTCGGAATTTCATGAGATCTAATGGAGATAGAATTGGGATTTAAGGGATTCAATGGAATATATCATCAACAGTATGTTTTTTTTGGGCGCCTCTGAAAATGGGATACATCCCCCAAATGGCAATCAAGAGGGATAATGATGATTAACCACTCGTTTTTGGGGTACCCCATTTTCAGATCCATTTGGTTTATAAAAGCTATGGTTCTCATCGTCAAAGTATCCATAGTTTATAGTAATTTGATCAATGGACTACACATGGTTTTAATAATGGTTGGGCACCAGAAACTTGTAGTCAATGTTATAAAGGATTTGGGGATGTCAAGTAAAAAAATCATGTTGTAAATGGGATTTATCGAAGGAAGTTTAGAAGTCAAACTTCCGACAATATGGACAGATGAAAAGCAGAGCAGGGCAGAGGCAGAGAGAAGAGAAAGATTGGAAGAGAGAAGAGTAGAAGAGAAAGAGTAAGAAGAAAGAAGATGCAGATGCGCGAAAAGGTAGGAAAGTCGCGAAACACTGTGTTTTTCCAATGATTTGTGGCTCCGGAGGGTCGAAAAGTAGGCTCGCTAAAGCGGCGGGTGCGGAGCCAGCTGGCCAGATGAGTGATGAAAAATTGCACGCCGTTGTGGCGCGAAGCACATTTTGAAGTCAAAATGTACAAAACACACCAGCGTCGGACCACTTTTGGAAGTTGAGATGTCAAAAAGTGCACGCCGTTGTGGCGCGAAGCACATTTCGAAGTCAAAATGTACAAAACACACCAGGGGTTCGGACCACTTTTGGAAGTTGAGATGTCGAAAAAGTGCACGCCGTTGTGGCGCGAAGCACATTTCCAAGTCAAAATGTACAAAAAACACCATTCTCGGACCACTTTTGGAAGTTGCGATGTCGAAAAAGTGCACGCCGTTGTGGCGCGAAGCACATTTCCAAGTCAAAAGTGTTAAAAACTGACGGTCTCGGACCACTTTTGGAGGTTCAGATGTCGAAAAAGTGTCGAAAACGTGCACGGCGTTGTGGCGCGAAGCACATTTCGAAGTCAAAAGTGTAAAAAACTGAGGCTTTTGAGCCTTTTTTGACGTGAAGATGTCGAAAAAGTAGACACTGATTAACTTACCTAACTTGACTAACTTAACTAACTTCACTAACTTAACTACCCCAACCTCGACGACAACAGCAATAACAGCAACAGCAACAGCAACAACAACAACAACACCAACCACAACAACTACAACTACAACTACAATAGATCGATAGATGGAGAGATAGATAGATAGATAGATAGATAGATAGATAGATAGATAGATAGATAGGTAGACAGCTAGACAGATAGACAGATGAAAGAGAGAGAGAGATAGATAGATGGATAGATGGATAGATAGATAGGTAGATAGGTAGATAGGTAATTAGATGAAAGAGAGAAAGAGAGAGAGATAGATAGATCGATAGATAGATAGATACATAGAAGATAGGATGGTAGGTAAGTAGATAGTCAGAGAAAGAGAGAGAGAAAGAGAGGAGACCTCAAGCACCTTTCAATCCATCAGTGGCTTCGCTCTGCCATCCCTGATTCACAACAACCAAGCTCTCCTATAGGTTTCCAATTTTGAAACTTCCGCCACCGCCTTGTGCGGTACTACTGGTAATAAAGGAGTCTATGGGGCTATACATGGTAAAACAAACATCATTCTACCCCCAGCTATACCCTCTTATGTACGACTGTAAATTGGTTGGAACCAGTTGAATGGGAGCCAAAACCATTTGGGGCCTAGCACTACAACAAGCCAATATTCTGGCATACATCGTGTTTCGACTCTGAGATGGAAAGTCGCCTACAAAAGGGGAACGCATATTTCAGATACTTGTGAAGCCAAAACATGGATAATAGATGATACTAGAGAGCAGGATTAAGAGAGTAAGAATGGAAGCGCAATAAGCTACCCCCTGCATCCATGATCTATGGATTCACTATATTTTGGATGGCATCCAAAGCAACAAACGCTTTGTTTTCCACTGAGAGACACACTGTGCCGCCGGCCCAGGCTGTTCCTTGGGCTTGCCAACAGCCTTAGCAGCTCCACTGGATGACTTGCTAACAGCGCGCAGAAAACTTGGCCAAAACTGGGGACTCCGGACCCTGCGCGACTGACGACCTCACCAAGGGGAAGCTTCTGTGTGAATCTCAGGAAAACATCAACTCTTGGAGTGGTTAAACATTTCTGCAGTACGATGCTTGCATCCCCTAAAAAAGATTCCCTTGGTAGCAAAAACTGTGTTTTTGCCAGCTGATTACGGATTAGGACAACAATGGGAATATCAAGAATAATGGATATGTCGCCCACATAGTGGAAGACCAGGAACAGCCCATGAGATCTTTGCCAACAGCCCTGCACTTTTTTGATCAAATCAACACCCACATGAATTAAATAAATCTATGTATACATATATCTATGCATGGATCTAAATGGATCTTGGGAGACATTTTACCCAAACATGTACATATATATATATATTGATTGACATTGGATCTTAATGACTCTGGATGGAGAGACTTCCCCAAGCATTTGGCCAGTTATTAGCAATCACCAGATCCGGGAAGCCCTGACCGCGCTCGGTGCCGATGTCTTGGCACCTTGGTTTCATCAGTTTCCCTATGACAAACTCGCAAAAAACTAGGGAAACATCAACCATTTTTTCAATTGTCACACCCTCAGATATCATATGAAGTTGGTGAAATACATCACATTAAAACTATTTTGTGATAATATTCGATGATTTTCCCATTCATTATTCTATTCCATGGTGAATCTCCATGAAGTCGTTGCCAGGTGCAGCACGTTCGCTTTCCAGCTCCTGAATGCGCGCCTGGTGTCTCGCGGATCCATTGGACACCCGATGCCATAAATAACTACCATCTGGGTGAACAAACCACCCATCAAAATGGTGATTCTGGGGATGGTTTATGATATTAGGTTTCCCACATTATTTTAATGTGTATCTATTATCCATATGATTCCACATGTACATGCTACATAATGTCGCATATATATATACTTACAGTATTCTCTTGCAAACCCATCATACAAATAAATCTGCACAACAATTCCTGGCATCAAACTTTCAGCGTTGAGGCCTTTTGTTGCGTGCAGAGATTTTCCAATTGAACGATTCGAGTTGCCTGGCAGACTAGGGGTCAATTTGTCATGGAACATGTGGGCTTTGAAAACAGGGCACCCCTGTAACCATCCCATGGTTGAACAGCTCATGTATCCCCACGGGATCAGGTCTAGGTAAACACTATGTATCCCCCTGGTGTCAACCAAGTGAGTAGGGCATCAACAAATCACCGCTGTGCACCTGCGATCGGCACAGCGCCTGCAGATCATCCCAGATCGATTTTCATCAATGGGCATCGAACCGGACACCAAACATGGGACATCAACATAGAACAAACACCAAAACATGATAAAACATGGAGATCAAACACACAAAAAATCATTTCATTTCATTGAGGGAAAATCTACAGGACCCCCCTATACTTAATGGGTAAAAAGCCATGGGTTCCGGTGAAGATTTTCCCGACTAAACCAATCAAACCAATCCAATGAACATTGGGTCAATCACGTGGCTGAAACTCCTACAGCGGCACTAGCCCACCTGCAGCTCAGCCAGTTCATCCTGCAGTGAATCTGTTGGTTTCTCATTCTCCCTATTGGATTTAGAAACAGAGAATATCAAGATCACCTACCCTCTGGTAATTTAACATAGCTATTGAAAATTGCTATTTATAGCTGATTTACCTATTAAAAATAATGATTTTCGATAGTTATGTTAGTCTACCAGAGGGTAAATTAAAGGATATCCCCAAAATTCTCAGGATCTCACCATTTGACAAATGGTGATCGGAACTTTCAAAGAATTCATATCATCCCAACGTCCTGGCACAAAGCTGGCGACCTGAGGCAGGGAAAATCATCTATGTGGAGGGTTTTCAATGAGGGTAGATGGTTACCACTTACCATATATGAATGGTAAAGAGAATGTTGTCATGAGGCTAAGCTTGCTGTCTCATCTACTTGTTCATCGATTTATCCAAACAACCCGCTTTTCTGCAGGGAGCTAGTGGATATCGCCACGGTCTGTGGCAAATCCAACCAGCCCAGGAACGATATCAAATAGGTGTATATATTATATGTATATATATATATATTATATTATACATACTTAATTTCATAAACCCCAGAACTAGGGGATGGTTCCATCACCCAGAATTGTTTTTCATTTTGTCACATCATCCTGTAATCATTCATTGGCACCAGACTAGTAATACCACTTATGGCATATCTGAAATACCCAACACTATTTTCATCACCCCATCATAATTGGCCAATGATGGTCAAAATAGTTCTCCATTTCTTAGATTTCTTAGCTTTGCCACGTGTTTTTTCAATCTCCGTCGTGCTCCTGGCTCCCGCCCTTGAGGCCGGGGGCTCCGCATCCATAGCAGGGCCCAACTCGCGTCTGGCTCGACTCGTGGATATCTGGGGATTTACGGATATTTTTTTTATATTTCCCTAAAAAATAGCCTGAAGATATCTGAAGATCCAAGACATATGTTTGAAGTCTTGAATTCTACACATGTATATATGTATATATATAAATATATATGTTAATATGGTTTGATCCCTTGGTGAAAGTTGCCAACCCACTAACAAGGAATGGTTTCAGATCCTAAAAACAACCAACCTTTCATAGGTTGATACCCCAATGACTCGACGACTCAACCGATGTCTTGCTGGCGGATTCACGGCTTCATCATGGTTCAAGCTTGCAGAATGATGTTTTGCTGTGCTGTTGGAATGTGTAGTTTTGACCGTTTCTATAGTTTCTAGAGTTACTCTCTAGTAAGCTGCTCTTGCCTTTCAGCAAAGATAAGCTCAAACCCAAAGCCACAAGACAGCGGCGTCATTCCAAAGTCGGGTTGGAGCAGTTGATTGGTTCTCACTGCTACCATCTTCATCTAACAATCAGACCTCTGCCTTTGATTTCCACTTGGAAGTGCAGTCCAGTTATAAATGGATGTATACCTTGTATGACCAGAGCTATAGGTGCCCATTGGGACCATATCCCAATTTATGGGCTTTATTTCACCATGGCACCTGTTTATTTCACCCCAACTGCTCTTTGATTCCCATAATAAGACATGCAGAAGCGAGTCCTCAGCAGGATGGTATGGCATAAAACGTGCACTTTTTGTATACACTCGAAGAAGATCTTTTCAGCCCGTCGGCTCACAAGGCACACGGTTCAAGAAGGCACAAGTTTGGGCCCAAGAATTCAAAGACTGGATATTAATCACCGGATGATCATTCTGACATTAGATAATGACCCACAAATGACTGGGTATGTCCCATGAATCTCCGTGACCAGGTGAGGGACGGAAACCGAACTCTCAGGGTTTGCCATGTTCTCACACGGGTCTCACAATGCATGGCTCAAATGCCAGGGCCACTCAGCAAATTGAACCTTGGCCCGACAAAAGTGAGTTGCTGGATACTTGCTGGGATATTCATTGAAATTTGTGTGGTATATACATGTATATACTATTAATATCTATTCACATGCAAGTCCGCAAAAAAATCAACATGATACACATGATGCATCCACATGTTCATCATTATATGGATATGTGAACGGGATATCCCCAAATCATACCTTTGCACGACCAGTGTCATGATCAACCAAAATGAATCCGCTTTGACGCTGTTTCTCTTGCTAAGCATCACTTCTGTGATGGCGTCGTCTAAAAAATTGGACCAAAATTTGGTACCGGATCATTGTTTGTCAACCATTATTGGTTGCAACTACACCCACTACTTCAGTTACTTACTTCATTTCTCCAACCATACATCAGGCAATGACATTCTATTTGTAATTAGGACCATTATTGACCACTCACTTCCTATCTATAAATGATTTCCCCAGCTATGAACCTTCCATTTATAGATGAATTTTGAAATTTTAATGGCCAATTGATAGATTGATTTCCCATTAAAGCCTCCATTGGTAGTTGATTTTCCTATATATTTTTTTCTATGTTTTTCCCATTGAAAGCTCCATTTATTGGAGGACTTCACCATGTCACCGACACCAGGAGCTCTGGGCACTCCGGCGGGAACTGCGACTCCTTCGGCTGCTCCTTGCAGGCAATGCATCGGTATCATCGGGATATGATTGGGAAAAGGCCAATGGAGTTCCCACGAACAAAATACCATGAAAATACCGATTCAATCTGCTTCTCCTTATTTTTCATCCCATGGTTACTTCCCAATAAGATATCCATATCTGTGGATTAATCTGCTTATCCCATGAAAATAGTCCCTTATAATCCCATATATAATGTTAACTGGATATTCCATTCATCTAACTATATATCCCATAGATGTGGATATTCCATTCATCCAACTGGGGAAAAAAACCATGGTTATCCCAGGAAATCTCATCAAAAAATCCCAGAAACAATCTGCTTCCCATGAAATCCCATGGTGAAATCCCACTAAAACCCTATGGGGAATCCATTGGATCCCCCCGGAGTTTCCGTCGCCCTCGGCTCCTTCACCTTGGGCGCTCCCTTCTGCGTGCCACCGCCCGAGGGCAACGCTGCGGTGCCACTGGCGGCCGCCACGCCGCCGCCGGCGCCCCTGTCATGAGTATTTTTTAGGATTCAATCGGTTCAACATGGTTCAACAACCAAAACTTATAGGATCAGAATTTAATGGACCAAATTTGTGCCCAACTAATTGTTTCAGGAGTAAGAACGCATTAATGATAGTGATCATAACGAGAATATTTGACAATAGACATCATTATAGTGATCATTTACAATGCCACAAGACGTCATTGGTGCGGCAAGAATCCATAGAGGGGATTGGGCAAAACCAGCCAGAAATGGGAATGTAGTCACTGTAGTCCAATACTTGGGGATTTAGCCTGGTAATCAAAACACCGGGCCCCATTTCGAATGCCATGGAAGAAAATCACAGGAGCCTCACTGGATGATCGCCGACATCTTTTTTAACATGTTCAAACACCTTTCCCCTTCAGAACTTCTTTGGAATCGATCTCTGGAATTTTGGATCACTTGGATCACTCAACTCCGGCCATCAAAACCATCCAACTCCGGTCACCCTGGCCCGTCGCATTATACGCGCCTCAAGAAGACCGGTCTCTTGGCCTGGAGCTTCTCGAGAAGTCGACCCAGAAATCAGAGTTTCGTATGGCTTGATATTGGGAAGATACCACCATGAAATATGTAGAGGTGATACTTTCCTCCATTCACATGGAAGTTTTGGCTTATGCAGTTGTGCCCCCTTTTGAAACAAATCCATTGGGGGTTGGAACCCCAAAAATTGAGGTTGTTATTCCTAGATTTGAACTGAATTTTACTTCTAAGCCTACTGACTGTTGGTTATACTCCCTAAATGCTGGTTGGCATCCTCCGCTTTGAGACAAACTCGGCTGATTGGTACATATCACAATCTGGCTTTGGGAGGAAACACCGACATCCCGTGGTTACCATCATTTTTCCGCCATTTAAATACCAAGTTGGGGGTATTTCATTGACTAAATCCACTACGATTAATCGTTAACACCTATATCTTGGATACAAATTACGAACATTCATTGGTTCGTTCCCCTCCGGTCATCAAACATGGCCACGGGAAACCCCCTATAAATGGATGCTTGAATGGGAACATCATCACCAGTTAATCGATTATCCATAAAAATAAATGGGGGATGATCTACCTATAAATGGGGGGTTTCCAAGTGCTTCAAACATTCAAACCCAGCAGCGGCATATGGCACCTGCAAGGGCTCTGCATAGCCAGAGGTTTCAGATGGCACGCCCGGCATGGAGGGCTTCGCGATGGGCACCTTTAATGGGTGAGGCCCCATTGAAATCCATGGGAAAATGGTGATTTAACCAAGAAACATGGGGTTTTCATGGGATTTGTAGCTGATTTATGGCCAAGTTGAGTTATAACTTGATTAACTAGGGTTGAAAGGGAGGAATATACTCTAGTTTTCATGGGTTACATTATAACTTGGGGGTCTCGGGGTCTCACCGTGATATCCCATGAATCCCACGAAATCATTGTACCCGTTCTTGGTATCTCATGATCATTATACCCCATTAAATCCCATTAATTTGACTGAGCAATGCGTCCATTTCGTCGATTTCCCCTGGATTTTCTCACCTTTTTTTGAATCCGATAATCCCATTGAGTCCCGAGAGAAGTTCCCCACAGATTCCTCAACCATGGAGGGAAACTGAGCACAAGCACAGCGAAATTCATGTGCGTGGGGGTTTTCAACAATGCTGACACATGGCATTTAGCTAAGCCTTGCATGGAACCAAGTGCGGATCTAATGACCAAATATGGGGATACTATAAGCGCTTGCTATCACCATGCAACAAAACAAGAGATTTACAGATGCAAATATAACCTGTCTTATCATCTGCAAAGTGTAATTGTAAATCCCACTTTTTATGTTGGCGATATTTTTAAACATCCCCAAATTCTGCTTGGTATCCTTAAAAAATCAGTAGTAAGTAGAAATCCCACCACAACCTCCTGATAACCCCTAAATTCCCTAAATTGTGGCTAATCCCCCAAAATCCCCATGATCATCATGATATTTGACAAGATTTGATGGGATAGTATCATCAAAATTTCTGGCACATAATCCCAATAAATCCCCATTGACTATATCATGATATGATTAAAAAATCCCAATAAATCCCAATACATCCCCATTGTTCAAAACGAATGATCTTTTCCCAATATGGGGCTGGCCAAGTCACTGAAGCAGCTACCAGGCGTGGCACGTAGGCATCGCCACCCAAGAAACGCACCTCTAATTGTGAAGCGATGGGAAGATGGTGGGGGTTTGGGATACAAAGTAACCATCTAATTGTAATCTGGTTGGTGGTTTCAACCCTCTGAAAAATATGAATCATTGGGAAGGATTATCCCATATATTATGGAAAATAAAAAATGTTCCAAACCACCAACCAGTAATTTACATATACCATCCCTATATGGTAATCCCCATCTAATTGATACATTACTACCCCCATAATGGGAAGATTTGTAATCGGGATGTGAGTTTTTTGGATAGAGTGGGAATATTAGATATGGGATATAACCTACAGTTCAAAGTGATTCACAAACAGTGCAGGAGATGTCATGTCGTCTAGGGAGGTGTTATGTCAAAACATGAGCAGCTTGGTGGCTATTACAATGCAGTTCTTTGAAAGAATCCCTAAGATCAAAATTGCCATGTCCTCTCAAAACTCGCCAAAAGATGGACATGTGCATGGATAAGTATGATTTTCATTAATCATTAATCTTGCCATATGGCTATGAGTCAAAACCTTGGTGCCCAAACGGTACCCTAAGAAAGCTGGTTAATGGATGTTGGTTCCTCTAAATATGGGAATACCATCTGGATATTTAACATAGCCATGGAAAATCACAATTTTTAATAGGTAAACCATCTATAAATGGGTCATTTCCCGTGGCTATGTTAAATAACCAGAGGGTAATAGTTTTGGGCCCATACCCATATGGATGGTCTCCAGCTCCCTTGGGCCTCATCCTCGCCTTCGATGGCTGTGACTGGCTGACCACCAGGGTACCACTTGTTCTGCACCAGTCGTTGATGTGCCACCTGCCAGGGCAGGGTGAGGAAGTGAAACCTCTATGGCTCTGGATGTTTGATCATCTAAGTTCTCTTAAACATGTTACGTAACGTAACTCACTTATTCTATGGATATCCACACTTATTTATATATATATATATGTCTACATGATACATATTATATGAAAATATAATACCATGTGTTTTATATATATGGGGTGTTTTTAACTTCTCAATGCTGCTGGATGCCAGTGCACCTCCTCCTGCACCGTGGTGAAGGTCTTCTTGTTGAGGACAGCTTGGGCCGCCATCCCTCGGCGATCGTCAATGGACGTTGAAACTATGGTAAAATGGATGGCCTGGATATGAAATAACCATGACGCAATGGCTTATGGATTTTGGAAGCATTTCATATGGATGGATGAATTCTTTTTAGAATTAGGATTTGAATCTTGGAACCACAGAGTTTGGAGGGTTCTTGTAAACTGTAAACAAGCAAGACATTCCCCCACCAATATTGTGATGTCTATCGACTTCTCCTTCAATATTCATCCATTCTGACAAATCTATAGCACGACAGGTTGGGAGCGATGCTTGCTGAATCCTGTTCTTGGTTCGCTTGATATATTGCAACCATCCCTTTGTATGCTTTACTTGAAAAATCCTACTGATAAGGATGGATGTCCTATTTCTCACTGCTCGTGATGTTCTGACACTGACACTCCATGTAGTTTTGTCTGAAAAGGGTGATTCGGAGTGATCATCATTTTCCCTGCATTGCCATGTGGCGTGCCTTATCCCATTTCCAGACACGCCCAAAAATCATATTCTTGGTACATCCAATTATACCCAATGAAATCCCCATTCAATTCCCATATGGCTGTTTAATACCATGAAATGGGAACAATCCCCACGAACCAGACTTATCCCCCTTTGGGTCATGTCGCAACTCACATAGCTCCACAGGTCCCAGCTGTGGGAATCGGTTGAACGCCTAGTGCCTAGAAGGTGCCCTAATTCATAGCTGGTAATAGCTGGATGTTTAAATTCCCCCAGTCATGTGGTAATGGGCCAACGACCCATCCCCATTTCTCCCAATTTCTACCAACTTTTTGTTGGAAGTGTTGGACTTTTTTCCGAAACAAAAGATTGTTTAAATACTAAACAATGGTGTCATCCAAATCTGGTGTCATTTGAGCAGTATTCGAAACCTTCTGTCGTCCCTTTCTACTGCATGGTTAATAGCTATTATGACAATCCCAAATATATTGGGTAGTATAATCCCGGATAATCATCAAGCAAGAGGGGCGTCCTGCAGCCACAGCTCATTTGCACCAATATTTTCAGGATTCATCCTTGGCATCCCTCCCAGACCCTGAAAACACGTCAAGGATCTGCTTGATGCTCTCTGAAATTTTCTCGATGGGACCCTCTGAGCCAAACGTCTTGGTTGTCAGTGGAAAGAGATCTGCAACACATTGTATGCATGAGATTCTGGGTAGCTTCAAATCATTCAACAGCCTGAAATTGAGTCGTTTTTTTTTTCCAATAGTCAATTTGACTCTCCATCCTTTAACATAGCCAGAATCTGCTTTGAGAAAACAAATATCCTCATTAATATCCCAAAGAATAATTGAGTTCACAAACCTCGCATGGTCACCATGATAGCCCAGGGCCAGGAATATCTTCAGTTCCATGAAGTGAATCAGCACTCCAGCTGCACTAGCACATATCAGACATATCACTGGATTTTGGGAACTGTTGCAGCGCAGTCCTGGTGGGCAAACCGTTTTTGGTGAGTAATCAGCTGATTTTTGGTAAATCATCCAGAAATCAGCTGATTTTTGGTGAGCAACCACCATTGTAAATCATCCAGAAAACCATCGGTGTAAATCATCCAGAAAGATTCCCTGGAACTTGAGCAGCAAGTGATCAACGAATGGATCGCCAAACTGTCTACAGCACTAATGCCAGTTTTTTGGGCCTTTTCTGGGGACTTCACCCATTCAACACTTGTGTGCAATTTTTTGTGCTTCCTGCCATCCACTTCTGCTTCGCGCAGCTTTGTTTTGCGCCATCTGCAGAAGGACCTCCAACAGCGCGCTGCTGTACCTACGGTCGGAGCGACAAACTCCACAATCTCGCGGTTCAAAACATCATTTTTCCTGGACATTTGGCATAGAGGATAAATCTCATGGAAATTTTCGTTCCCAACATTTAGCCATTGATGTAATGATAATGAAAACCTATGATTTTGATGATCAACCCCTATGTTGGTAAAATTCTTTATGGCTATCGTTCAAGGCTATCATCCCCTTCTTGACAGGTGGCCTTTGGGAGGCCAAACTGCAAAGCTGGGCGTTTTCTTCGCAGCCCAACACCTGGGCAGCCCCAACCATCAGAAGGTTTCACCAGAAATGGGGGAAGAACAACTGCAATGATTCTGTACCATTTGTTGGTGGTTTTTTCCCCATTGCGGTTTGACATTTTTAAACAACAATAACAGATCACCCACAAGACAATGGCATTCTAGAGTGTTTTTTGTTGGGGATGGCTCAGTTTGATATTTCATTGAACACGAATACGAATTACCCCAAGTCGAAGTCTTGGGACGCTTGAAACTCATGATTTTCCAGTGCCATGGAACTGCTTCGAGGCCAATATGTCTTCAAAGTTGGGCTCCCTGGCAGCGACTCCGTCTGCATCCAGGCAGAAGATCTGGGCGGACCGACCACCACCATGGTGGTGGAGCTTGGGATGCTTGCGATGCATCTGAGGGTTGTCTTTATTAGCATGGTGGTTGTTATTAATATAAATATTACCAATGTTATTCTCTTGCTATTATTGCTATATAAGGATGATGATGATGATGATGATGATGATGATGATGACCATGGCGGTGATGTTCAACTTCCTTTAAATCCCATTAAGCACCAGTGCAATGTCCCATTCACCCTCTATTAAATCCCATTAAACACCTAATCCCCAATAATTTAGATAGCACAAGTCCCCAAAACAATCAACCAGGCTATCTTTAGTCAATCAACACTTAACTCAATATTCACCAATGTCTTTGGGTTGGTGATATCCCATTAAATCCCTAATCACCATTAAATCACATTAAACCACCATATCATCAACCAGTTCCGAGAAGCAAACCCCCCCAGCCCATCGAAAACTCGTGGTGCCCACCTCGCCTCCATCGCCATTGACTCAGGCTGATTTGCAGCCTCGATACACATCGACCGGATGGATGGGGGGCTCCATTTTTTTGGTAGAAAAATGTATAGCAACCCCTGATAAGATGGAAAAAAAAACATGCTGTTTTTTTTGAATTTGATGGTGATTTGATGGGATCGAATGGGATTCAATGAGAATATAATTCTCTCAAGCATTCACGGTTGACATCCACAATGAGGGGCTAAAAGCAACAGTGACCCCAATTTGATCACCGACAATCAAGGACCCAACTCAAACAGTTGGTGTATCCACAAATAGTTTTAATAACTAGGATTGGTTGCGGGGTGGATATTCTATCCCAGAAATTTCCATTGAAACACCATTACAATCACTCCCATTGATTTCCTATAAGATCCCATCAAAATGCAATTCCCAGAAACTCCAGATTCAAATCCATGAACTTCCATCAAAAAAACCAATTAAACATGTTGATGGCTAAATACGGTAAATCCCACATCATGAAGCTATCCTTGGCTTCCCATCCTCGCACTGCACCACAGCACTGCACCTTCCGCAGCATCTCCAGGAATTGCTCCAGCGACAAAGAGCGCTTCCTCGATGTATAGCGGGCCAGAAATGGCACCTACGATGACAGAAATGGACGGAAATCATGGGATTTTTAGCCAGTATCTATAGGCTTTAAACGATCAACAGTATGCGGATTCAAATGGATACAATTGATGAATGATGGTTGATTTATAATTAGTAGGTTGTTTGAAGAAACACTATAGGGATAATTCAAGGGATATCATTGCTTTTAAGCAACTAAAGATGATTTATCAGCCAACTTACCCTCCGATGCCATCAAATGTGGCTAGCTAGGGAATCCCTAAACTGAATGAAGGTCGTTGTGGAACATTATCCATGGGGCATTTGCGTTGCCAAATGAAACCTGGGATATGACCGACAAAAAGAAAGGCATGTTTGAGCGATTCATAGCAATATTAGTGGCGCCCGGCACCCAAAGAAACATCTTGTTAATCTAAAATCCACATCCCACACTTCATTGGTCTTCCCCAATCTTCACACTTTTTCTAGATCATTCAATGTGGTCAACCGCAACCAGCACAGTAACCAACCAGGAAAAATTGGGGGTCCTCTTGAATCATCGTTTTTCCCCGCAATTCCTCAAGGTGACCATGGCATTGGCGGTGCTGGGTGACCTCCTTGGTGAATCCATGAGGGTAACCTCCAGGTGCTCGACGTTCAGCATCTGCTTGGTGGATCATCTTCAACGAGGGCATCTTGCCCTGGGACCAAGTCGTTGAAGTTGACAGGCCACGCCTTGGACGTTGGGAAAGTCAGTCAGTTGAGCCAGTTTGAAGTGAATGACAATGAACATCTGATCGCAGGTGGACTCACCATGCTATCACCTCGAAGTGCCTCGGGTTTCTGGACTGCGACTGGGGTTTCATCCTACTTGCGAAGTAGGGTATATAATATATATGTCTCAACCACCAATTTCACACAAAGATATGCAAGTGATCAGTTATATAGCCCTCTGCTAAATTAACATAGACCCTAAACATAAGCAATTTTTAGTGGACGCATTCATCTTCCAACCCGTATCTGCCAGGGTCTATATTAATCTACTGCAGGTAAATTATATAATTACCCTCTGGTAAACTAACATAACTGTGGAAATTCACTTTTTTTTTTTAATGGGTAAATCAACTATAAATGGCAATTTTCAATAGCTATGTTAAATTACCAGAGGGTATATACCTGGTTAAAACTGAGCAGTGAACCAATCTCCTGTGAAAGCTTGAATCACACGTGAAAATCAGCTCAACCCATGAATTACATCATAAGTCCGAGGCACGAGGAATAACATGTTACCTTTATAGTTCACACCTCGGTTTTGCAGGTGGATACAAACATCCCTCCATCAACTGCGGAAAAGCTTCATTTCTGTTGATCAGCTCCTAATTTCTTGGGTCCATCCCAATTTTTTTGTTGATCAAGTCTGATCAAGTCCTTATTCAGTCACCATTTCTGCCACATTTTTCCCCATTTTTCGACGTTAGAAAACCCCGTAGCGGCGGCACCGCTTCATCGAAGGGTCGGCAGCTGGACGCTGGGAAGATCGCCAGACCAGCTTCGAGGATGGGCAGATCCACCTGGGATTTCTCAGTGGGTCCTTGATTGGGATGTATGTATATATATGTATACACAGGGATTTGATTACCATATATCTTGAAATTGATTAACGTATATGTTTATAAGCATGTAAAATAAATTTTACACACACACACATATATATATATATATGCATGTATATATATATATGCATGTATATATATATATAAATACACATTTCAATGATTCATCCGTATTTTGGTAGGAACAACACGAATCATCTGATATGTATATATATATATATGTTTATCCCATGGTATCCATTGCTTAATAATCAGTACCACTCTTCTTGGTTACAAGCGCATTTTCATCCAAGTCCAAATACTTACAATAGAGGGATATCCCAATTTCTGGGATACACTATGGAATCACCGGATACAATGTGGGGATAATAATTCTGGGAGTACCCTTACTTACAACCATTTAGTATTCCCATTTTGAGTATAGTGACGCCAAAAGAGGAAGCCGCAACCACCATTCTGGGTGATCAGTGGCTTGAGCTCTTTATATTCAGATATAGCTTAGCTTAGATATGGTAGTTATCTTTGATATAGTAGATAAGAGCAGATATAGTAGATGTAGAAGAAGATATAGTAGACAGAGTAGATCTAGATAGACTGGATCTACACATAGACATAGGTTTATACATATAGTTTTATATCATTTACATCTTTCTATCTATTTGTGCATATTGAGATGTAACAAAGAACTATCTAGATCTGTATCTATGTATCCATTATATTTATAGTCAATATATGGTTGATGACCTCAAAATCCCCAAGGATCGGTGATTTGGGGTACCACTTTAGGACACCGCCATATGGGATTCGGCCAGGATCATGACATCGGCATCGCGGCCCCTAATATTAGTGGTACAACCTCCATTTTTGTTGGTCGAAACCCGGCAAAATTTGTGGCTAGAACTGGCATTTTTGTGGGTGGAACCAGGTGAACCCCTCCAAATTTGCAGAACCCCCCCGATTGTTTGTTGGATATAACGTACTGTGGGTGGTATTGCATAATTCAACGCTGTAAACAGTGAGATTAATAGGTGGGATGTTTAACTATGGGCAAATACATGTAAATACTGGACAATAATGGGACAAACCAAGATTAACTATGATTAATGAATTATTAATGTTGCTTTATCTTTTTTTTACCCAACAATAATTTCATCAACTATGATTAATGATGCGAAAAAAATCATAATTGATGAATCCGACCACATGTTACTATCATCATTGAATGTAACTATTGGTCGGATCTTGCCGCCTTCATCGGCAGGAAGCAGTTTGCCAATGACCTGGCGTGGGAATCTCCGAAGTGGGAGACTTCTTGAGGCAGCAAAAAATGGTGAAACCTAAATCATGATTGAACAAGTAAAAACTGATGATTTAAGGAGGAAAATCATGCTTCAGTTTTGACAAGCAAAACGGATCTAGGGGATTTGAACGGACGAATTAGATTTACCCAAAGATGGAATTCTACTTCTGTCAAATTTGTCCACGAAACAAGGACAAGTTCACAACATGGCCTTGGGTGTGCATCAAAGTTACCGACTACGTGGATTACAAACATATCATTACCTAGCTCTATATATATATATATACATACATATATGGAATACCCCACACAGATATATGCCTCATAAATTACGTTACAACAAGTCCTGGGTCTAAGATGACAATCTGGCCACCTGGCGAATGGATCGTCCCCAGGGGGGTCCTTGAAACCACCAAAAGTAGAGATTCTTGTCGACCAAAATTGGGATTGTACGTAGCAAAATGGTGATTCAAGCCTTTGATTCTTTGATCATGTTTGATATATCCATCCAAGCCATTTTTTTGGGTTGGTTACTTGGATAAAGCTCAGTTATCTGCGAGGACATGTCTCCAAAATGGATTGGAACAGCTATCCTAATGACATGACCATATGGGTTTTCTCAAAAAACCGGGCTGCACCCCGAAATATCTGTTTGAATGGGAGCCTGATTTTCTACAGGTCCCCATTTCAAAGCATACCATATGGGGGTTTTAGCGACTCATACTTATTTTCCCTATTGAAATAGCCATGCATCCAATTAAATCCCCATAGAATATTCTGACTATGGTCGGGTATAGCTGAACATAGAATGACACCACCATTTTCAGTCACACCTATGTAACAAATCCCGCTACATCCCTAGTTAATCCCATTCATCTTGGCTGGTGAATCCCATGAAATTCATGGCTTACCCAAAGATCAAGGGGTCATCAGCCTACAGTTTCCCTGACCCGCCTGCTAGCCAAGATCAGTTGGTTCAACTTGTTCAAGCGAAAGAGCTGCTTTGGGAAGTCCGCAGAGAAGGCCCAGTAGGCCTCCCAGGATTTGCGACAGCTGATGTTGAAAGACAGTGGTTTCATGGGGGCTTAACCAACAAACATAGTGGTATTTACTGGGGATATCATGGGGGCGGGAATATCGTGGGGATATCACCAACTCATCAGGCTAGTCGTCAAGCCGTCCTTTGAAAAAACAGGTGCCAGTCAGTGTAGGTGCCAGTCAGTGTGATCATCATCCCAGGATGAAACGAGGGATGCGTCTTCCAAGCAAATCCCAAATAGGAAACCACTATTTGGTTAGTCCAAAGATTGCATCCAAATGTTTTGTTGAACAGGGTTTAAGTCATTGAGGTAGCAACTTTGGGGCCACATCACAAATTGGAGATAACCCGCAGTGGTTTTCCAGTTGAGCCTGATCATCGAACACATCTCGACCATTTTCTATAACAAAGTGTTAGATTGCCAGTGGGCACAGTAGGCGACTTGGAAGCAACCATTGATGTATTCGAGGCTTGAAAAGGATGTGTCCCACTTTTTCGTTCTGAAAGCCGCTCGGTGTCCTTACGCTGAAGGAAATCAGCGATACGAAGCCCACGAATTAGTGGGTCTTTGGATTGTGGAGTTGTGGTTCCGGATTCGTTTCTTGAATTTTTCGGACACAATGTCATCAACATACGGGTTTGTCTGAAAATAGACTACCCTTAAATTCATTCGTTTATCATCTTCCCGATCTAAATTACTATTTGGGGGTTACCCCATCTTCAGATACAGCCATACTTTAAACCAACACTCCAATCTTTTCTCAGCAGTGGCCAAGATGCTTGTGGAGATTTCTTACACATCAGGGAAATATCATCATTTGTGCCGTCAAGAGAGAGGTCAGCACCCCCCCCAAGAATCCATTGGAAGTTTTGGTCACTGCTGAGGCGCAGAGTCATTGTGACAATTTTCATTGACCGTTCAGATCCAGCGCTTTACAGACAAGATCCTCGGTCAGAATGAATCGTAACACCCGCTAACAGGACCTCACTGGTGGTTTTTTGCGGCTCCCACAAAAGGGAGCCGGAGAATCGTCGAAAAAGGACCTCCAGGTTTCACGGGTCCCACACTTCTCTGAAAACTGCTGAGACTCTGCGCACCTAAATCGTTGATAGGAAACGCACGAAGCAGTGCGTTTTTTGGACCCAGTACATCCACATCGCCGTCCCGAGTCATTCCTAAAGTTGACTGGGCCTGGTGATGAAGATTTACAACAACTCATCATATGCTCTGGTGTCATCAGCTCCATGGTTTGCTGGAAACTTCCCCCCATGTGTTGATTTTCCCAACTGTGACTCCATTTTGATCAGCAACTTCATCTTCAATTTCAAACCCATCATGAAGATTGTTCAGTTTAAAATTGACAGTTGGGAGTTTGATATTGTCATTCATGAGTTGGACTCCTGCCAGAAACTTTGGGAATTTGCATCTGAAATTGGCCGAAACATCTATACCGACCATTGCAGGCTACAACAAAAATGGAGGAGCATTCCTAATGGTTTGCCAAGGATTGGGTGGACCACACATGACATGGATTATGAAGCAAATTATGCATCCATTCATTGCATGATTAACCATATATCCTATACAGTATACGATTGAAACCTTGGATTATTAACCGATATATATATATATGTAAATATATATATATGTATATATATATATATGTATGTATATATATATATATGAATATATATATATATATGTATTTATATATATGCGTATATGTATATGTATGTATATGTATATGTATATGTATATGTATATATATATATGTATATATAAACAAACAAATATATATATATATGTATATATATATGTATATATATATGTATCTATCTATCTATCTATCTATATATATATATATAGAATTATTGTCTCCATACATGATTGATATGCTTGAAATCAGCCAACTTCTATTTGGAAAGAGTGTTTGTGCATCACCACAGCCAGTGAACTGGGCAGACTGGGCAAACTGGGCTTACCACATGGGATCACATGGGTGCAACGTCCAAGAATATTCGAAGAGTTTTTCTGGCTGGTGGCTTCAACATCTTCACACTTTCCAGGTAGAAATTCACCAATTGGAGTGAAGATCCCAGAAACAACATTTTTTCAGCCATCAACCAGGTAACATCGAGGGTGCTACCGGCTACTTTAGAGATATTGCACCGAATAGTTGCCAAGCGAGGGAAACCAAAGATCCATCAGTGGGGCATTTTTTGTTTCATTTTGGAATATTTTGGTAGACGAGTCACATCATATTTCCCTCGCTAGCCCCAGGATGTTGGACTTGCAACAGCCGGATGTCGCGACCAGTTTGAGTGGTTTCACAACAGAACTGGTGGCATTTTGGCATGACGATGATCATATCTGGGGAAGCAGTTCCAGTGAACCAAGCGAAAATAGAGTCATGGAAGGAAGTTTAGAAGTCAAACATCCGACAACATGGACAGATGCAGAAGATTGCATGTTTAAAAAGTGCACGCCGTTGTGGCTTCGCGTTCGCTGCACTTTTAGAAGTTGAGATGCTCAAAAAAAGTGTGCGCCGTTGTGGTGCAAAGCATATTTCGAAGTCAACATTTGCAAAACGCCTCAGGTTCCGCAGCACTTGTTACGATATTGAAAACTTGCATCCTGTTGTGGTGCGAAGCACATTTTGAAGTCAAAATGGTAAAAACACCACATGTTCGGACCACTTTTGGACGTTCAAGCGTCACTTGTCGTGGCAGGCGCAATGGATTCTGGCCAAAAGCAAGCAAACGGTGAGGGTTTCGTAGCAGTTTCAGAAAGGATGGCAAGCGTGGAACGTTTGAAGAGGATGTGCAAAGATGCATGTTGCGAGGCAGGCTCAATGCAAGAGACATGTTCATCAGAGATGTTAGGAGGTCAGTGCGCTGATTTCCTGAGATAGGTTGCATTTTGGAGTATCAGATCTTCAGGTTTGCCTAGATGCTTTTGCATGACAGGTGCAGCACTTCGTACGACGTGGCCTCACTTTTTCGTGACGGGCATTTTAGAGAGATGGGATAGAAGAATCGCAAAACGCATTGGTACGATGCCGGCAGCTCCGCACTAAACTTTTGATTTTTGAAGGAAGTCTCGCAGACTTGCTTCGTTTTTGATGTTGCCCACTTCGGATTTTTGAGGAATTTTTGGACCTATCAACTTTCATTTTTTGAGGAAGTCTTGCGGAATTGCTTCATTCTTCCTGGTGTCAACTTGCAAAATATGAGGACGTCTTGCGGAATTCGGTTGTTTTGGAGACTTTAATTTTTTCAAGAAGTCTCGCAGAATTGCTTCGTTTTTAATATTTTCCACTTCAAACTGAAGGAAGTCTGGCAGCATCTGTTTGTTTTGAAGCTGTGTGAGCTACCATTTTTGAGGAAGTCTTGCAGAAATGCTGTGTCTTTGAGGTTGCCAATTTCAAAGTGGAGAAGTCTTGTAGAATTTCTTGTTCGATATTTAGATTGACAGACCGATACCCAGATAGATGGACGAAGGGAGAAAGACACAGAGAAAGACGGAGATAGAGAGACACAGAGGGATACGCGGCTAGACACACAGACAGAGGGATAGGTAGAGATGGATAGATAGAGAAATAGACAGACAGACAGACAGATAGATAAACAGATAGACAGATAGACAAATAGACAGATACACAGCCAGCCAGCCAGGCAGGCAGGCAAAAAGAAAAAAAACCACAGACAAACAGAGAAAGTTAGAGAGAGAGAGAGAGAGACTTAGAGCCTCAGCCACCTTTCAATCCATCAGTGGGTTCGCTCTGCCATCCATTCGTCACAACAACTCGCCCCTCCCATAGTTTTCATCTTTGAAACTTCCGCTTGTGCGATACTAGTGGTAGTTATGGGATGTTATATCCAAATTTGTGGAAATTATGGCTATACGCGTTAAGAATCCCAACTGCACTCCCAAGCAGACTTCAGCTGCTCGTTGCTCGAGACCAACCAGTTGGGCCGGACCCGAACGCTTTGAGCGCTGGCAAAAGCAATCCCCTGGCCCTCCTACTTGGTACCTAAAACCTCCAATCGAACATACCATCATTGGGTCCATGTCCAAACCCAAACCCTTTGGTCTCTATTCATCTGAAGTATTCCTCAAAGATTTAAGAATTTCTCAGCCGCATGGATCAGCAATAAGCCTGGGGCCTGGGGGTTGAGCCACTGCGTAACATTTATCGAAATCTCGAGAGTTAGATGCCCAAATCAAGTCACGTCAAGCCTCCTTGCAAGGTCATCGCGTCTTTTCTCAACAGCTCGTTCGATTTCTGCGGAATCCTGCATGGGGAACCCCGCAATACAAAACACTGAAGACCCTAAAAGTTCTTCCTCAGAAATTCACAATCAACTTTAGAGGATTTAAGTGATGTTTCCCTCAACATAGGGAGTTTTTGCGGAGCCATCCAAATGGATTTTCAGAAAAGTTGCATCCTCTCAGCCTGACGCCAAGACACCACGTCTTTCATGAATCGCTCCAACTTCGCGACATGGCCAAAATGCGTGCTCTGCCCCTGGGGAATATGTTCCAAGGATCGGAAGTTCAACCGCGGTTCCACAAAGTCGATGGCCACCTCGTCATGCTCCACGGTCCATCGGACGACGCTTCCTTAGCAGAGATTTCGATGAAGACCATCCAAGGATCTAGCTGGTTGGAGGGGAGAACCAGAAATTGGCTATAGAAACATAATCTTCCATAATTTTCCATAATCTAGAGAATCATCCAATGCATAATTTTCCTCCATCAGAAATTGGCTACTTCGACCAAGGTGCGAGTCGTCTCTTGAGGCTTGTGAAATGATGATGAGCATCCCATGGCGAGACCAGTTGTGCTGAACGTGGTCCGAGGAAAATTTGAATTCAAAAGGCTGTGTGTCCAGGAATGAGTACATGGTATACCGCGGTATGGCACATTTCCCAACCATTCATTTTGACAAAGATCATGATAAACATGAGAACCATCCGAATTGTAGGCACACCATCAAAACACCAAGTTACACCATGTCTTGTGGATGGGACTTCCCATTCCTAGTGAAAGATCCTTACACGGAAATATCCGCATACATAGCACTTCTTGACAGATCCCCATCCCCATGGCGAGCGCCGAGAGGGCAATCAATCCTCTGGTTGAAGATTGGAATTTGGAAATCATGTTTTTGGATTAACCGATGAACATTTTAAAAATGAGTTGAACAAGAAGAAATGGGCAGCCAATTCGATTGCACCAACAAATGAGATAAAAACAACTTCTCACTTCTGGATTACCCATCGTTTAAAACTACACATATTTCTTTCCATTCATCAATTGGTGCAACCATGTCCAGCTCCTCCAAAATGTTGGCATCAAGAAATGGACAGTTCATCATGCATCATGTTTTCCTCGTTAAATGGGGGTGACATATCATGTATCACACGAAATGATGGATCGGATATGGATGCTAATGTTGTTGGATCAGATCCCATTGGGAATCCCATGAAATTTCGCCCTTGAGTTCTTCCATTCTTGATGGTGAAATCCACATTTTTGATGGTCAACCTCCATCCAATCATCATTTTCCAAGGTAAACTCACACATTTTCATTTTTGTCCTCTATTAAACCAGCATTTTCCTGAATTTTTCGATGGTTAATCTCCCTTAAATCATCCCATTTTTCCACCCTGGCGCCTCAAGGGCTTCCCATCTCTCATCTGGAACCACCTTGAAGAGGCTGCGCCTCAAACAACGTGGCAGAAAAAGGCTCGGAAGATGGTGATTTCTTCGGGAAAAATGATGATTTCATGAGATTTATAGCTCATTGATCATGGCTAACTCCAATAGACTCATTTGCCTATAGTATTCATGTGTTTTTTAAACCAGCAAACACAACTGGGCCCTACATCGTACGTTTTTTCCATGTCCACTGGAGGTTTTTGTCATGAAACCAGCCCACATGGGATATCATGAAATTTGATGGGATATAGTTGGTGATCTAATTATATAATTGATGATTTCAGTGGTTTACCGGATTCAATGGGGATGTAATTGGGGATTGGTGGGGATATGGTGAGTTTAAAACGGATCTAAGAATCTAAGTGGAATAGCAACAACAATACGGTGACCAGCCTGTCATTCCTCTGCACCATGTCTTGCAGCTGCTAATGCTGCCAGCCCACAGGATGGGTGCTCAGTCTGCCTGGCACAGCCCCCCGTAACTGTGACTCCCCGCACAGGCACGATATTCCCACAGTCTTTGCACCAAGCGCTCGATGAAATTGATCCCCAACTCCCGAATCGAATGTCGGGTTCACGACATATTCCTTCGGCGCTGGGTGTCCCGTGGCTCTGTCTTGCCGCTGCACGTTTGACTACTCGTCTTCTTCGCGATTGCCCATGAGAGCGGTGTAGGTCTTGCGGCTGCCCGCCTGCTTTTGGATTTGGCGGCAGCGGCCCAGCCGGCCGAGGGATAGGCCCTCTGATGCTGAACACAGAAGGTCACGAAGATGATCAACTTCACAAGTGTCAGATAGATCATTCCAAAATTCACCAGAACGATTTTTTGGTAGTCGATCCCCATTGGAGGTTGACGCAGTTCATATTCACATATTTTGTACATGCGTACAGCTAGGTGTTAGGGGAGAAAAACAAACTTTTCTATTAAATCCAAACAGGACACTTCCAAATTCCATCTTTTTGATTATCATGTTCCCATGAAAATGGCATGTTTCCGGTATCTCTCGTTTTTGGCTCAAGCCATATAGCCAATATATATGAAATCAGCAGCCGGCTGATGAAAATGCACTGGAGATGGCTCGAAATCAGCCACTTTCTCTGAGCCTATCCTGAAAATAGCAATAGGTGGCTGGTTTCTGGTACTTAGCACGAAAAAATGGTGAGGTAGTTCTCATTTGCCATTCATCTTCGTCTATCGGTCACAGGACTGGTTGGATATCGCTTTGGAATGGCTTTCAGCTACGTTTTAAGAGCCTCTGTGTTGTGATTTTGTATGCACAATCCCATTGGAAAATTGTCACATCAGGTTGACAAAGGGCAAGTGTTAATGACACATAATTGGCATGTTGATATTTATGACCATCTTTGGCAGTAAGAACCAGTTTTTGCAGGGAGCAATGATCAGCTCATTCGGAAGGATGAAACTGCAATGATGGGCACTCTGTTGTAGTCATGGCAATGTTAGATACGCAAAAATATGTATGCGTATATGGAAGTTTCTTAGAATGCGGGATCCCCAGTCGTCACCATGGCGTTTCAGTACTGGTTGGTGAGTCCCATGGCTCCACTCTGGCATGGCTCCACTTTTCACTTCTCAAGTGCCCAAAAAAGGGGGTTGACCCAGTAGTGTAGACATATGTATAATATATATATATAGGTATAGTATCTATATAGATCATATTAGATATAAATATATATATATATATATACACATACGTATAATTATCTGCAGAAAGCTCTTCTCCATCAGCACATGCTAGTCATGGGATGATTCTTTTGGAACGGAACTGGGGCCCATGTATCCCGTCATACCACCACCATGATTCATGGGATTCGGTCGCCCATCTCACTATGATTTACAAGCTCTTCCTCCAGGTGCAACATCCAAGGGACACCAGCTGCCTCTGCTTCGGTTGATGCGTTTCCTGTCCAGACTCTCATGGGGAAATTGGACCTGAAATCAGAAATCTATCGTGCCATCTTGGAGCTGCATACACCTCAAACAGTTGAGGTTTATGATAGTCTTTGGATTTTGGGATGACCATATGACCAAAAGTCGTTGCCTAACCTATGCAGGAGCTGCAGGAGGCGGCATGGCGCGGAGTCGATTGGAAACAACCCGGCCTTGATCTTCGATTTCGGAAGGTGATCAATAGCCATAGTGAACCTATGGTTTATAGGTGATATATCTATAATTCTATAGTTAATGGGGTGCGTCTTGACCATCTTGAAAAATGATGGAGTTCGTCAATGGGGTTGGGATTATCCCATGTATGAAATGGAAAAAAATGTTACAAACCACCAAGCAGATATGGTTTGCCTCTCCCTGCAGGTTTTTGAACATCGTGAGTACTTGGGGATCGTTTCTCGTCCTGGGCAAGGGTCGCCGGCTTCAACTGGAAGTTGATTGGGAAAACAAAGAAATCTAGACATCAACCAATGAGTAAAGAAACCAGATTCATCAGAGACATTTGATTATATATGAATAGAAAATCTATGTAGTTATGTAGTTATGAACATTTCTGTGCATTTGCCTGAAACTACCGTACGTTTTTCCCAATTGCATCACTTTGAATCACCATTATATTCATATATTGGCCGCAGTAGACCCCTCACTTTCATTAAATCCCATTAGCCACCCGTTAAATCCAATTAAATGTTCCAGTAAATGGTTCTATATGCTTTAGAAATATTCATATATTGTTTGGTTAAACTCCATTAAATCCCCAAGGTGATCTACAATGTGGGGCCAGCCAGTTATGTTTGCTGGTTTGTAACCACCATGAACTATAGTTATAAGTATCATTAATCATAGTTGTTGGCGTTATGTTCAACAACTTAGCCAACAAAAATCCCACGAAGTCCCATGAATTTCCATGAGTCATCACCATTTTTCCTATCGTTTGGGGGCCCCACAGTGTAGCAACAGATGGTGCTTCATCCCTGCCGCCTTCACATCTTCGGTGCCCTCCAGCCCCTCCCTTCGCTCTGGAGGAGGTTTCCTGAAACGAAAAATGACCACAGAATTATGCGATCTTTATACAGAACATAAAAAAACCATGTACATATGAATATATGAATACACACATATCATATGAATAAACACATATCAAATGTATATACACACATCATATTATGTCTACATTGTTCTACATTGTATAAACACGTATAATGATGCACATATATCAATACGTGTGTATATACATAGTATAACATTTTACACATCCACATGCGGATGGTGATCGAGATTCTGTGACTCCTTTTGACGTGTCTTTACCCAGCGAAAACCTTTCAAATCTCCGTGGATGTTGAATACATCTCCATTGGGGCACCAATGAGCCCACATTGCCATCTTTTGTATCAAAACCAGCGCTTCTTTAACTGATCATTTTGACCCATACCCACTGAACTTTTGTTGAACCGAAATCCACCGGTTGATCATCATCTTCGCTATTTGATGGCCATGCGTTGGGCAAAGCCTTCTGTCATTCCATTCTGAAAATCACTATTTCCAATACAACCCCGCAAGTCATCAACCAACATGGCTTTGGAGTTAGAACACTGCTAGGGGTTTTTCCCGTATATCATCGTATACCCAATTTTCAGACGGATCATGTTACATCCCATGAACCCCCAAAAAATCTGGCTGGTGAATCACACGAAAAAAGCCACGGTTGATCCCCATGAAATCTGAAAAAGCGCCGGCGCCTCGTCTTTCGCAGTTTCGCCACAAAGAAACCGCCGTGGTGCGCCTGGTCGACCCAAGGCTATCTGTGTACAGGCCTCAACCGACCAAGGGAAGATGTGCCTATCAACATCACCAATATCAAGGGGCACGATATTAAGCCAGGATCTAAAATAGGAGAGATCCATGGTTATATTCATTTATTCATCCACCAAATTTATAACGACCTCGCCCCAGGCGGCACATCATGGTGGGATGTAGTTAGCCCCAGTTCATAGGTATCCCTATTGTTGAGAGCTATGGCGATGGTAAACCACGAAGTATAAATATAAGTTATCAGGTTATAATCATCCTGGTTACACCAATTAGTTGCTCACTAAATCTATCCCATTATCATCATCTACAACAAGACCCAAAACGTATGGAGAAAAAGATCGGCTTACCACAATTTCAGCAAAATTCAACTTTTCAATCTTTTTGGAAATGGCCATGTAGCTACAATTCACATGTGCGTTTGTCTCAATGTCAGGTGCCCCTAAATCTCATTGGTTCATCATCATCCCATTGAACTATTTTTTGGGGGGGTATCCCTATGTGCTCAGACAACTCCAGATGTATCACGGCCAACACATGGGCCATGGGTCATCCAGTTGGTTCCAAATCCCAATTTTATATGATCTCCTGCCTCAAAAATTCTATCCCGTATCCGATTATATCCCATGATACATCCCATTCCGTCCCGTAACCCATGATATCCCTACGAAAATTGGTTGGTGAAATGCCATGGAAACTGGCCGAATTATACTTCACCAACCTTATCAGCTCAGCCATTTGTGGATGATTCCTCCAATTCACCGGAATTGCAGATGAAACTATCAAACCACTCCCTTGTTCACCTTGTTCATATTGAAGACCCCCATTGTATGGTCCCAGTCACAGTTTCACAAGGTGAAGGCCCCCCTGTTGCTTTCTAAGGCCAACCAATGTTAACCTGGTTGGTGGTTGACCTACCCCTCTGAAAAATATGAAAATCAGTTGGGACGATGACATTCCCAATATATGGAAAGTCATAAAATTCCATTGTTCCAAACCACCAACCAGTAACTATAGTTATTATCATGTTATATACCCCTCAGAAAGCCATAGAATTCAGCCTTGGGCTTCACCCTCAACTTCGCCATCCTCAGAAAGATGCACCCCATCTTGTTGGTTGAAATCCCCAATCATCAACTAAAAATTCCCATGAAATCTCATGCACAATCACCATATTTTTGTTATTCCTAAATCCCATGAACAATTCAACATCAACCAGGGATCCGAAGGATCCGAAGGATCCGAAATGCCTCCGTGGTCGCGGGAAGCAAACGTCGACAGCGCTTCAGCACCGCCAGGGGCGGATCCGAGGGGAACAGTGTGACCTGGCCATGTTTTGGGACAGAAAAATCAGGACTTTGCCAACCAAAAAATGGGGGGAGGAGTAATGGTGCCACTAACATCCATTAAGCCAACCATAAACTACCCATGACTGGAGATGATTGAAATCTCATTTTCTAGTGATTATGGAATTATGGGAATGATTTACTTTTTGGGTTTATCACAATAGCCACTATTATTTTAGGGGTAATGATGCCTTTGACCAATCACAAAGATGGTTCAAACAACTTTTTCGGGGTAATGATGGAGAATATGCGGCTGTTTCAAATTTCATGGCATTGTCAGTCTATCCATCCCCGTAATGTCAAAATCGAGATTTCATCAGCAAACAAAAGGATTTACCAAACAATATAGAGTATTGACCCATACAAGTACAGTATGTAGTTTTAGCAAACCAAAGCAATCAAACTATACAATTTTATCATGAACCATGAACAAAGAGAACTCTCACAAGCAAAAGGGAGATTCGACCTCACACAAGGGCCTTTGACAGCCATAGCATGTGCCATCACTGATCTTTTTCGAAAAGTGGATTGCCCCTCTGAACATGAGTCGCCAATTTTTTTGTGTGATTTCAAAACGAACCAGGAACACTGCGGTCTGATGAGGATGGGATAGATTCCAGATGATCAAGGCAACAGAGTAGCTACGTGTCCTGGTATGTTTCCTCCTATCATTGCTGGTAGGATGTGAACTCTTAACATCTCTACCTACGTTCTGACCTATGGCTGAGAATTCTGCGGCTCCGCAACTGTTGACTTCATGACGAAAGTTGCTCCGGCAGAGCCGGTCGCTGGAACTCCGGGCCGCGGACTCCATGTGGCCATCGTGGATGGCTTGTGGCCACGGGTGTTTCAATATCGCCTGGCCATCCACAACAATTTGTGCCCAGGTTTTCACATGTTTTCTCCATGTGGCTCGAGGTCCTTTGCCTAACCCGTCCAGATAGATCAGCCCCACCTGTCTGGTGACGTCTCCGTCCAGCCGCATTCAATCTATATCAATTGCTGGACCGTGCATGATGAAATGACTATGAAACGCTAGTGGATTGTATCATCATATCATTGTAATTATTGTCATTAGTGTTGTTATTACCTATATCATAATGGCAATTACCTATATCATAGCAAGAAAATGGCACCCCAAATTATCCCAAAAAAGTTCTTATCACAAGAATTATTAAAAAAACAACACTAGTGATTATCGTTATTCGTATCATTATTGGATGATGGTTGATATTCTACGAATAACCAATATATAATCTCTCTATATATATATATGTATAGTGATAACGAATCATCAATATTAATAATCCAATATTGATTGAATTTAGTGCCCAATTACTATTAGTGATATTACTATCAACATTAGTGATATCACTATTCTTATTCGCTACACCAAAATCCAAAACGGCTTGGCGTTCCATCCAGCATTGCTGCCTGAGTGCCTACACTACTTGAAGCATGGTTTTAGCTTCGCCAGGCCCTGACAGCGAAAGTTAATCAATATGATGGGATGAAAAATAGGAAATGCCACTATGATAATGATGATATTGCAATATAATAGGATGATCAAAACTGATGACGATAAAAACTGACAGGAAAGATACTTTCGAACTACTGATGATTCGATGATCATGGGATGATCAGACTTTGGCACCGATGATTTGATGATGGGACATTTTGATGCTATTTTGGATGAGACATTTTTAAATATTGGCGCGGAAAATGGATAAACAGTCATATATGACTAGTTTGCTATCTTTGTAGGTATAATAGACTATGGAAATTTCAATTCTCTCGAATTTTAGTGAATTTTTGTTGACATGTCCATGCTCTATCTACAGGATGACTGATATCTTAGGGTTGGAGCACCCCTGATGATCCCAACATTTCTTATGGCGATGTCAATAGTTCAATTTGGATGTTTTAAACCAGCGGTTTACCGCATTCCTCAATCTTTCATAACCCATTTTCCCCCATTTATAGGTGGCCGTTCCTTCAAAACGGCATACATGTTTGTTGTTTTTCCATTCCTTGCATTTTTCTTTGGAAGTTCTGAGCTATTTCTCATTTCCAGACAAAACCATTTGATTTTGACTGATAGAAAACTCAACACCCACCAAACATCTTCAAACTCCCCGTCAAAAATTTGCCGCTCCGATTTCTGCCTGGGTCTTCCTGTCAGACCTGAGGAGGTATCCCCCAAAATACCCCAAAAGTTGGCACTGGCTGAACGACCATGGCTGGTGATTCCGGGCTGATCTTCGTGACGAGGTCTGTTTGGATGAGTTCCGGGGCAGAATACCCAGGTTGACAGCGCCCAAAAATCTGGCCATTCTTCGGCCTTCAATTTGTAGTTGATCATCCAAACACACCTAAGCAACCCCCCCCCAAAACCTGAACATGTATAACTACTACAAATCCTCAAAAAAGAAGGATTCTAACCAATAGAGGTGGAAAATTTGGTGATCTCACCAGTCAAAATCACCCATTTGTAGATGATTTTCCGAACGGCAACCGGAAAACCATAGGATTTTCCACATCTACGCGAGCACCCCAAGCCGTAGGGCAGTTTCACCAACCACTGTGCTGTCAAAGATGCCCTTGGGGTTTTGACATCCAGCATCCATTCCTCGGATGGGATAGCATAAGAGTCATGGATCCTATGAGTATAAATTGTGTGAATATTCATAGTTTAGATATATACTATATAGCGATATACCTATTTAAATATCAATAGTAAGTATGTATATATATATCTACATAAATTTAGTAAATATCAATAGTTGATGCATCTATGGATATAACTATATATTATATCCCATATGTTGATTTAGATAATGGTATTAACTCGCCAGAATTCATCGGATTCACATGGGAATCGCTGGGGGATTTGATGGGCTCTGAAAATGGGATACCTGAAACATGGCAATTTTGATGGGATATACAGCACTGACGAACCACTGGAGTCAGGGGCCAACTGGCCAACTGGCCATGGCCACATTCGTTTGCCACATGAAGATGGTGATTTTGGGGTATTGTTTCTTTTTGGCAGAGATTGATTCAGATTCAAGTGGAAATTCAATTTTTAGGCAGCTCGGAACAACAGTTTACACATACCATCTGGTTATTTAACATAGCCACTGTATAGATGGCCCATTTATAGATGGTTTACCTATTAAAAATGGTGGATCTTTCCATGGCTATGTTAAATAACCAGAAGGTAACTCTTGTCTTCTTAGTTGTGAACATTGGTCAACCTCAAATTTCATGGAAAAAAGCACTGGTTTCACTTCAGCAAAGGGCCATTTTGAGGGATACCCCCTTTTGGACATAATAAAAGGTGCTATCTTTGGGCGACAAAGAACTCTTGGCAGCCTCCTCACTTGGTCACTGATCTGCACATATTCCAACAACCCCTGGATCCATGTTCAACCCCTACAGATTTCTCGGATTTTCCCTCCGTCCACATCTCTTTTTTTGACGACAAGTCATTGCCATGGCTCTCTTCAAAGTGCTCATCAGGAACTTTCCACGTCGTCAAACCCTCCTGGTTGGTGGGTTGAACTGGGGATATATGGATGGAATCTATGGGATTTGGTGGGATTCATGGGGAATCAATACATGGGGATGTAATTGGATGGAACCGGATGGATTTATGGGGATTTAAGCATCAAAAATTGCATCTAACGATTATACGGACATGCTATAGTACCACACGGTCAAACTGCTATGCTTAGATTCAATGTGTCTTAAGCTTGAGCTTAAAGACGTTGATGTACCCAAGCATCTTGCAGCAACGGGATGTTGCCAACTTCAGAAACCTCCTGAAAATCCACATCAAAATTCAGAAATCATTGAACACAATGGGTAGATGGTTTTCGCTTAATTCCAAATCTGAAAGTCACTTGCTCGCAGCATCTCAAGCAGAGAACCACCAACCATCCTGGGATACAGAGGGACGCCGTACCATGGTCCTACTGATAACTGACCTCATTCTCAATGGATTGCAATGCCATTTACCCTCTGGTTATGACTAACATAGCCACTGTATAGATGGCCCATAGAAATAGATGGTTTACCTATTAAAAATGGTGGATCTTTCCATGGCTATGTTAAATAAGCAGAGGGTATATCATTTATGATGGCTGATACCTAAGATACCTTGATGCAGGATGTTTTTTCAAGATTTGACCGGAATGGCATCCCCACTCTCCAGAAGTGCCTGGAAGCAGTCGCTGTTCAAAGGATCCCAACACAGCAGCTCCTCAGGTGTGTTATCGCTAGCTTCAGCATGATGGACATGTTGGACATGTTGGACATGTTGGACATGGGAATTTTAACCAACAGAAATTGAGATACAACGGGATAGAACAAACTGAACCAGAGGTATAACCAAGTGATATGGGGGAATTTTGACGAACAACGGATTGAACCGTTGGGAGCAGCTCCGCCGTTTCGTGCTGCCACTTGAGAACTGGCCGAATCTGTTGATGATATGTACTCTAGGATAAACCCCATATATGGGTCCTTGGATGTATGTCAAAGTGGAGCTAGAGAAGTATGGGCTTGCCTGCAAACTTGATCGTTTATCATCATTCTCCCCGTTTAACTTGCCATTCTGTAGCATCCTTCCATTTCCGGGAAAAATATACAAGGTGGTGCACCCCAGAAACAGCATGATTCAAACCCATCTAACTATAGATATATCTACTTGGTTCACCAAGACTAAGTTGCTTCTACAGTAAACCAACGAGTTGCTAACAAACTAATGCGACACTTTGTAACATATCAAATCAAATTGGTTATGTATCTGATTATATCCCAATTACTTCCTATATACTGGCTGGTCAATCCCAGTAAATCCATTGAAGCTTCCTAGCATCATGAGTCAAATCCCATGAACATCCCATTATATATCTATTAAATACCGGATTAACCATAAATAAATGTTATAGATCTATTATATATCTATTACCATCTGTTAATCAAACATGGGAATTGAACATCCCCCTTCGATGATTTTCCATCGAAACCTCCATGAAGTGCGAAAAAAATCCAGCCACGGCAATGATGACATCGGAGGGTAACTTGGGTATATCATATTCAGTTGGTTCTGTATCACAATGATATACCATGAACTACCCCTATATTGCTCGGTTAAATCCGATTCATCAATCAACCATCATTCATGAATTGGATCCATTGAAATCATTTCATTCCGCACGAATTGATGGTGAAAAATCCCCCATGGACATGGTGAACTCGCACGAATTTCCTCATTTCATTCATCCATTTAAATCCGCACTTAGTGGTTATACTGTATATTAGTGATTTTAAAGCCATTTAAATCGCACTAATTGTTGATAGTGGATACCCTCTGGTAAACTAACATAACTATGGAAAGATCCACCATTTTTCATGGGAAAATCCACTATAAATCACCATTTTCAATAGCTATTTTGACATAACCAGAGGATATGTCAATTTCAACCCCAAAAAATACTGGTTGTCGACACCCCATGTCGCGAAGGCGGGGCGTCCGCTGATGGATCCGCCAGGAGCGCTTGGACCACCGCTTCGTTCTCCTCGGTCCAACCGTTGCACGCCTTGAAAATGGTCAGAATCTGTGGACTATTTGATGAATCAATGGATTGGATTAAGGGAAAATTTACAGGAAAGCCCCATATTTAATGGGAAAATCTATGGTTTCCCGTAAATTTTCCCTTGAACCAATCCATTGAATGAATGGTGATTTTCTAGTTGAATGGGTCTTCCAGAGAATTTTTCATGGATCAAAAAACTCAAATCAGAGGTGGTTGTGAGAGATGTTCTCCCTGATTTCAACCCTGGATGTCTATCTCAGGAATTGTAAAGGCTTAGAGCCCAGAAAAAACCGGCGAAAAAAACCCATAGTTTCTTCAAACATAACACTCTTCGTTTATGAAACCATGAAACTATGAAGGCAATTCTAATGACACGATAAACGATGAAGTCTTTTGGCGTAGAATTGAGTGAGATATACCATATGGCCCATAGTTATTGGAGAAAAATCAAACCATAGTTATATCCCATGGTATATACCATTAATTGCTATCAATGGAATATCCACCAGAAATATAGTTCGTGGATTTTCCAGTCATGGAGCTGATTTTCCGGAGGGTCAATCCCATTGATATCCCATCCATATCGCATTATATATATATTTAATGGATAGCAACAAAAATATTTAGTTATCCATATATGGATGATATATATGGTTAAAACAATCCTAAACCCCAAAATCGCCATTTTACGGGTGGCATAAACCATCCTAAACAAATGAGGACGGTTCATGACATTGTCTTACCCACATAAACCTATCAATGTGCACTTTTGAGACCCCAAACCCATCAACATTTATGATAAAGATGGATTTAGTGAGATATACCATAAACCCCATACTTATCGGAATTCTTGATACCCATAACTATATATAGTTATATCCACTAAATAACATTAAATAACTATATCATGGGATATAAACCCATAAATAGTTACATCCCATAAATAGTTATATCCCATATCATTGGGTTTATTCCATAGTCATAGGGTTTAGTGAGATTTTTCACTCTCCCATGATTCACCCATCAATGGATCGCTGCCACCCAGCTGCCAGCGGGTTCAAAGAACAGGTGGAGTAGACCAGCGTGCCGCCAACCTCCAGACATTCGAAACCACGGCGTAGCAGGCCTCCATGGAACGCGGGAATGGCTGGAAAAGAGGGTAATAGACATGTTGAGATTGTATATTAGATATACGATGTATATTTATCTATCAATATATATTAAATAATCATATAGTAGTATAATAATATAATTAAATAATAATTATACAATAATTATACCATAACTATAAAAAAAATCACCTAATAATTATATAATAATCAATAAATATGTCTATGAATATGACATCTGAATCCATTTCCATTGCACTCTCGACAGAGAAGTCATCCAATTGGATATCCAGCTGCTCGCAGAATTGTTGGATGGAAACCATGACCACAATGTCCAAAGGATCATCCCCTGTTTCAAGGTTTATCCACAAAGGACCAAAGGGACACTCGGGGTACGCAATGCTTAGTCCACTCAAATGCATGGTTGACCAAATACATGGGCGTGACACTCCAGGAGTCTCCTTCTGGGAAACCGGTTGAACGAAGGGACCTGCGATGCGAAGGGTTGGACCTGCGCCGATGACAAAGCGGTCCAGATGAGGATCTTGGATCCAAACTTGGCCGTCTGGCTTTGATGAGGTTCTGTTCAAAGACGCCATCAGCCACAACAACAAATGTGCGGTTTGGAGGTCTGGGTGTCTAGGGATGGCTGGCTTGCCAGTTTGGTGGCTCGAGTTGGCCAATATTTTCAAAATCCACAGTTCAACGGGAATTTCTGAAAGCGGCACGGGCTCTTGAGGTGCCCACTGACACTCACTAAATGCGTTGTGAAATTGGCCATGGAATGCCCGATGTTGCTGTTGATGCGAGAATTGACTGGGTGCCGCGGCTCAAGCCTCAAGGGAATTCAGTTAACCCTTTTCAGTTTCCTCCGCCCGCTTCATTCCCATGTCTTCATCTCTTCGCAAATCAAACCGAAAAAAAATACCGTGGCTTCTGCACTCCAGGTATCTACTAATTCATCTGCGATCCTTCGCTCGCGGTAATCGCCAAAGGGAGGGGGTTAAACCAGGGGTCCTTGCTAAAAATCTCCTAACCAGGGGGAGAGAAGAAGGCGGTTCGGGATGAGACTGAGAGTAGATGCGTCCTTTTCCTTTCTCTCATAGCGTTACGTTACGCTATCTAGACGTTTACTTATTCATACGTAGTAATACAACAAGAACCTTCCCAATTCCAAATCAACCTGAAGCTCCAAAATGCTCGCGCTGTCTGGTACCATCACACAGCACAATTGCCCCAACAGATTACCATGTCCTTTCTGAGGTATGGACGAGTATGTCTCAGGATTGGAAAGAAGAGGACAGATCCCCAGACATTCCCAGCAATATTTGCAAGAAACCGCTGGTTAAATCCCATTTCTTGATCAAACCCCACAATTCCAGTGCAAGTTGTCACAAAAGCCCCCTTTTTTTCAAGAAATATGACATTCAGACTGGGAACATCAACAAACATGATTTGGGAAGCTCATCCAGTGAGGTTTGCATGATCATACCGCCGTCTTCCCCTGTTTGCCGCCCATGACAAATAAACCTGTCTGTCTTCATAATGAAGGTCCAGGTTTAAATCTTGATCCAAAACAAACAAGCCAGTATGATGTTGATCATGTGTTTCATTGACTCCCAACTGTATCTCCACGAAATCTCATGACGTCCCCATGGGTTATCCCACTACTCACTATACACCATAACTTAAATCCAGTCATCGCCAATTTTCACTGCAAAAACCCATGTAAAATATGTGAAATCCACTTTTGTTTCACCATCACAGCCCAAAACCTCGGTTTTCCCATGGGTTATCCCATCATCACCAGGTTAAACTTGAAATCCCACAAAATCATCGCCCATTTTATTCTCACTGTATCCTCATTATAGCCCCATAATATTCCGTTGAAATCCCCCAATATCCCGTAAAGTCCATATAAATCACAATTTTTTTCCATTAGCAAACCCATTATTTTCCATATACTAGTTGGTTAAGTTACATAAATATGCCATAATCCATAGAAATCCCGTTATTTTCTATAATTATATTAGTTGGTTATATCCCATAGCAGTAGAAATCCCTCCAAACTCCCCGGCCTAGCTGCAGCTTATGCAGCGCCTTTCCCTCGCCGGCGCGCCAGTGCACCCAGCCAGCGCAGCTCTTCCGCAGCGTGCCGTCGCCACTGCAGGGCGCGTCCACCAGGACTTTCCTCACCATTGGACCAGCGAGGAACTCTCTTAGCAATTCCTGTATTCCAACAGTATTTCCAACAGTACATCCTATTTACCAACAAAACATTGCATTTTTTTGGACATCCATTTCTCATGGTTTGCATTTTTTGCTGCTTATCTCCCCGGTGGATCTTCCACTTCGAGGCTCAGAGGTAAACGGGCTGCCGTTTCCACTCAATCGGTGGCAGCCAAAAAACATTCAGCTGACATACCAAGTCAAAAACCGTTAAATTTTAGCAGTATGCAGTTATATGGAGTATGCTTATCCATCAAAGTGGCTTATCCCTGACCTACGAACCACTTTGCTCTCAGCGAAGGTTGATAACCCAGAAAAGTTGACGAACACATCCCCATTTCAGCTTAATATATACCCCGAAAATCCCAGAAGCATAGACTTGATGGTTTCAGATTCCAATTTCCCAGAACCTGATACCCCAAAAATTCCCTCCAAATCCCTCTGGTTGGTGGTATACCTACCCCTCTGAAAATTATGGCTTCGTCAGTTGGGATGATGACATTCCCAATATATGGGTCGTCATAAAATTCCATGGAAACCAAACCACGAACCAGCATTGGGTTTATAAAATTGTTTTATCCAATAACTATGGTTTATAAATCCATGGAAAACCCCATGGTTTTAACCCATGGCTGTTCCAGTCACCACCGTTCCCAGTCGGCTGCAAGTGACTGGAACTTCACCTTCCGATTATTCCAGGTCTTCAGCGCTGGGAAGTCCCGACCATCGCAGCTGGTGACCTCCACATTGCCGTGCTGTGGGGATACTCCCCAGGTCGCTTGGTACCCAACTGGAAACATAGATGATTTATGGATGTTGATTCACATGGTAATAGATTCTGACCCATCCCCACTTCAATGGGGAAAATGATCAGATTTATGTTTTTTCCGCATTGAATGGGTATTCTAAGGGAACAAGCTATAGTATAAGTCCCAATTTACACTAATTCAATGGGTATCATGAAATCTAAGGTGATATACACACACACAATTATTTTCAGACAAAATTTCACAAAACCAAGGTTTTAGCCGCTACAAACATATTTTTTTTTTTGTGGTGTGAGGAAACAGTTTTTTCAGACGACCAAGCGGTTAAGTGTGCTTACAATGACAAGCTATGAGGGGAAATCAACCATCGAGGTCCTTAGCATTTTCACCATCTGTGTGGGTTAATCCCCCTTTAAATGCCTATGAAATACCATTACATCACCTTAGAAATCATCATTCATCCCATCCAATCTCATAGTTGGCATTGAATATACCATTAAATCTCCATGACATCCCACATCGAAGTCAACACGGGCTGCCTGTATACAGAATGCCACTGCTGCGGCTGCAATTCTGTTGGTTTGGTAGCCCGCAGGCCTCCAATGCTCTGTCAGTTCCTTGTGTGATGGCATTTCTGTAGGAAGCACAGCTGACCTCACCCCATTGAAGTGAGGAAGATTGCGAACTTCTTGGATCCAATCTGGTGTTGATGCTGCGGCCGCGAAGTCAGTCTCACTGAGTGTCATCGTCCGGATTCCACCAGATTCAGCGAACGGGTTGAGACAAAGATAGGACCAACGGGTGTACGGTCCCATCCGGTTGGCCTTACTCTGCCTTCCTCTGTCCTTCAAATTGTTGAACGCACTCTCAAGGCTCTGCTTAGTTGAATGAGGAGTTGCGAATAATGCATGAACCATATCGCACAGCTCCTGTGATTCCAGAGTCCACCCACATTGTCGGCCAATTGCCCAGAACTCTCTGGTAATCTGCCAGCTGTGTGTGCCGATGTCTGCCAGTAAGACACGGGCATTGCCATGAGCAGGATGGGAATTGATGTGCCATTAAATCACCATTTTCACTGGAGAAATCATCATTTTTCCATGGGGATTATTGATATTATTCCATGGGGATGTAATGAGATATTCCATTAATATTCCATATTCCACTAACAATAATATTCATGAATATCAATGGCAATGGAAGATGGTAACTGGTCAATGGAATATGATTCAGGGAATATTCCAGGCTTACGTATCTCCATAATTGATGAGGTAGTTCATTTATTATCATAGATATCATAGATTATCCATTGATATTCCAGATTATCTCACATATCATTGCTGGTTGGTGGTTTCAAGTTTCAACCCCTCTGAAAAACATTAGTCAGTTGGGATGATTATTCCCAATATATTATGGTAAAAACATGTTTGAAACCACCAACCAGTCATTGATATTAACAATTGGATTATCCAGATAATCTCATATATTCCATTGATAAACCAGACAATGGTTAAACATTCTGGAGGATTTGTCTGCAAAATTCCCTGTTTCAGGAAACCTCCGGTCTGATTCCCCCAATCGTCAACAATTGGATTATCCATTGATATTGCAGATTGTCTCATATAGCATTGATATTCACCATTGGATGATCCAGGTAATCTCATATAGTCCATTGTATTCCAACCAAGTAGCTGCGCAATACGACTAACTAGTTGCGAAATACTAGTTGCGCACGAATAGTTGCGCAATACGAACGCATAGTTTCGCAATATTAGTTGCACAATCCAAGACAGTTTCGCAATAGGACTTTATCCGATTATCCATTGGTATTCCCCCAATTGCCACGGCACCAGCAGCGTCTCCCGCGGTCGCCGGCGACTGCGTTGCGCCACCACCAGCGCGCGGGGACGCGACACGTCGTTGGCCACCAAGAGACCTGGAGGATCGACAAAATCAGGGTTTTCCTGGGATTTCACCACGAAACAGGGAAATTTACCCAGTGAAAACGGTGATTTCATTGTGATTCAAGTGTTTCTATGATGACTCTATGATGGCTCTATGGTGATTCTATGAGGATGTTATGGTGATTTCATGGGGGATTTACCCAGTGAAAAATTAAACATGGAGATTGAATGGTGATTTGAAGGACATATAGTGATTTAAGATGAATGAAGTGTCTCAAACACCTACTGGGAAATCCCGCACAATCATGGTGTGTCACTATGGGTCACTGGTACTAAAGTTCCCAACATGCATGGGTTATCGTGATGTTTGGGGTTATATTCATATTCATGGCCGATCTCAGACGCCCTGGAAATCGGAAAACAACATCTCGGTCAGTTGATGAGGGCTGAAAGTGGGGTTCCTACTTGTTGGATGACCGAAAACCCTGGGATGACAGGAAAGAATCAATAGAAGTCCGTTCCAATCAATCCAAGACATCAAGTATGGTCCGCCTGAAGACCTTTTTCTCCCCAACTGGCAAGTATTGATGGATTACATCCCGGCTTCTGGTGGTGCCGAATTTTTTTCGGGGGTCAACAGCATGGTCAATAACAGACCAGCAGCTATCCTCTGGTAAACTAAGAAAATTCTGGAACATCACCATACTATTCACAGGTAAATCAACGAACTCTAGCTGGCCATTTTCAACAAATATGGACAGATCCACCATGCTATTCATGGGTAAATCATGGTATATCCACTATTTCAATGGCCATTTTCAATAGCAAACTCTTAGCTTACCAGCAGCGGTTCCTTGTGCCGTTTGGCGCCACGCCTCCAGCCCCATGGGAGAGCTGCGTCTCCAGCATCTGCAGTGTCTTGGAACCTGTGGAATCTCTGACCGACGCCATGGGAATTCATGGGGATGCAACCATCAGAAACCATGGGATTCAACCAATAAACCCAGGGAAATATGGGATTGAATGGGCTTAAGCCAGCACTGGTTGGTGGTTTGTTTCAACCCACCCCTTTGAAAAATGATGGACGAATCGTCAGTTGGGATGATGAAATTCCCAATATATGGAAAAAATAAAAAATGTTCCAAACCACCAACCAGAGCATCAACGTAGTTGAAGCCAACAAAATGGAATCAACCATAATAAAGATGAATAAAACAAGTTACAATCTTTATCCAACCATTTTATGGGAATGCAACAGCGCCATGTTCTTAAACCATCCCACGAATTGAACCAGCAGGTCCAAGTCGTAGACCTCCAGGCCTCGATGGATTCACGTATAAAACCAATGAAACCATGTGACATGTAAATAGATTGGTTTAAAGCAAAAATCGAAACCAGAAATTACTCTACTTCGTGTGATCCCCACCATGACATGTCAGGACGTATATTTGGACATATATTTAGTATATTCTGACATCCTATCTGACATATATTCTGGCATATATCCTGGCATTCTATCTGGCATATATCCTGACATTCCACCTGGCATTCTATCTGGCAGTCTATCTGGCATTCTATCTGACATATTTTCTGACATTTCATCTGACATATATTCTGGCATTCTAACTGTCATTTATTCTGACATATATTCTGGCATTCTATCTGACATATATTCTGGCATTATATCTGACATATATTTTGGCATTCTATCTGACATATATTCTGGCATATATGTTGGCATTCTATCTGGCATTATATCTGACATATATTCTGACATTCTATCTGACATTCTATCTGGCAGTCTATCTGGCATTCTATCTGGCATTCTTTCTGGCATTCTTTCTGGCATTCTATCTGGCATTCTATCTGGCATCCTATCTGACATTCTATCTGGCATTCTATCTGGCATTCTTTCTGGCATTCTTCTGGCATTCTATCTGGCCTCCTCATGACTCCGAGGTCGTTGGCGTGGATACTCGCGGTTGAGGTCCGGCAGGAAACACTGGGCGTGGATGGTCGTGGTTGAGGTCCGGCAGGGAACACTGGGCGGGGATACACTGGGCGCGGATGGTCGTGGTTGAGGTCCGGCAGGGAACACTGGGCGTGGATGGTCGTGGTTGAGGTCCGGCAGGGAACACTGGGCGTGGGTGGTCGTGGTTGAGGTCCGGCAGAGAACACTGTGGATCGCGGGTCGCAGTTGAGCAAGGACGACGAGGACGACGAGGACGACGAGGACGACAAGGATGACAAGGAGGACGAGGAGGAGGAGGAGAGGAGGACGAGGCAGGAGGAGGCGGAGGAGGAGGAGGAGCAGGAGGAGGAGGAGGCAACTGACATAAAATCTAACAACCCTCACCTGGCAGGTGGGGAACTATGTTTTTTTTTTTAACCCCACATGTACAGCTTTCTTCCGTATTTTCTCTTAAACCCATACGGGAAAAAATAGGGCATCCTCAAATCAATGGGCTCATCAGCACTACCCATCTTGAAATAGTGTAACATATCATATTTGGAGGATTTTGGAGGTACGATTTAACCAGAAAAACTGGGCATAAACCATCGGCCAATGCAAGCAATCACAAGCCATGCAAGGCTCATCCCTACCGAGTGGCACCATGCAACATGACATGACATGACATACCCTCTGGTAGACTAACAGTTTGCTATTGAAAATGGCCCATTTATAGTTGATTTACCTATTAAACATGGTGATTTTCCATAGTTATGTTAGTTTACCGGAGGGTACCCTGCGTCCGCATCTTGATGCCGTGATGCCAAGGATCTCTTTGGGGATGCCATGAAATCCCAGTTCGAATCTCCATTTCAAGTGGTTAAAGCTACCATGGCTCATATGGACAATCCCCTAATCAATGGGTGAATCCAATCCAATTAACTTAACTATAGTTTGTCTGATGCTATTTCCAATGATGAAATCCCGCGAAAACGACCATGCTTTAAGTCTGTCAAAAATTCCAGTTATATCCCAACATGGATGATATCCCCATCAGAAGTCTCTACAGGCCACATCAATCCCAAACTCCTGGAGCTCCCCTTTTTTTGTCCCAGATGGCTGGTGACTTTCTTTGAAACCCAATTGAACTACCATCAGCAACATACCTATGAGATCCCAATCATATACCAAGTAGTATTGATATATTCGCCATTTTTTTTGGTAAGTGAAAACCATTGTTTTCCCATGAAATCACAGCTTTGCATTGAAATCCCATAGCAATTAGTTTCGCATCATTTCCATATATTGGTTGGTTATATCATCCCATTAAATCCGCATTAAATTACATTGGTTCCCATTAATACTTCCATTCAATCCCATTATATCCCATTAAATCCCATAGTTGTTTATACTAACCTTATCCCATAGTTAGATCCCATAGCCATAGTTACTTATACTATCTTATGCTATCCGATCAAATCCCATTAAATCATAGCTGGTCACCTTTTAAAGAACCTTTACATCCCATGAAACTTAGCATTCATATTTCCATTCAATCCCACTATATCATCTATATCCCATCAAATTCCATTCAGTTCACCATTTTTTGGGAAGATTTAGCTAAGAGTTCACCATTTATCACCATTCAATCCCATCAAATTTTGCCAAGATCTCCCCATTTCACATCTCAAAAAAACCACCGGCCGGGATTGTCCTACCGACTCTGCGCACCTGGCGATGCGCAAAGGTCCAAGACCTTGTCCTCCGGTTGAAGGTCCAGTGCCAAGACCGGCAACCTGGGCGCAGCTCAGTGGCGCAACTCTTGGGGTTTATGGTAGGTATAGAAAAACATGAAAAAACACTGAATTATTTTTGGGGTTTATCAATCACTGGGGAAGCAGCACCTGGTTTCTGTTGGAAATTGGGTGCTTTCATGTGATTGTAGGTTTTTCTGGCTAGTTAAAGGATTAAAATGGATTCAATTCAATGATGCCCAAGCTTCTTAAAGTGCACATAACAAGGCTAACTTACTAACTATTTATGGTAGACATATCTAGAGCTAGATGGGCGAATATAAATCAACAATAGCAGTCTTTTTTCACCCCGAGCCCGCAATTGCGATCGCACAACGTTGTGAGCCATTTACGGGAAAGGACGCTACTATCACAATCCTTGGGCGAGCAAATTCAAGACCGTACACCACAGTGTCTCTTCCCCCAATCGAACAGGGGGGGTTTGCGGATTGATCTCCCACCACCCTGCAGGCGCGAAAAAGGGATCATCAGGGTGGTCGCCACAAGAGACCATAGTGCCGCCCATCCACTCAGTCAGCCTAGCTGGCATAGTAGCCGTCATGCAGGCGTACTGTGCCCCCTTGACTCTATAGCCAGCAGTTTGTGCGCGTACGGACGTCGATAGCTTGTGAACTTCATCCAACACAACAAGTTGTTCTGTATTGTCACGTCGCGCATACTCTTACGAACTGGCGATTATGTGGGCCTTTTTGAGGTCCTCTTCAGAATACCTCATCTTCGTGTCATAAGTCTCAATGAGTACCTCCGGAAGACCAGACTCAGACACAGAGAGGGGTCCAAATCATCCTCATCAAGACTTGTAAGACCCTCTCCCCCATCCCCCGGACATTGGCTGGCAAAATGAGCGCCATACCAGCCCCCAGTAACATTACCTTCGCCATCATACTCCACCTTTGCGCAGGCTACACAACAATTAATGAAATCGCAACCGTCTTCATCGCAGGCCTCATTCTCCTTAGGAGAGATCATAAATCAACAAACATAACTAGAGGGCAGCTGAGACTTGGCCAAACATGCGCTTGAAACACCGCATGTCAATCCGGGCTTCAATCCAAAGCTTCTATTGTAAAACCCAGTCCAACGTGGGGAGATTGACAACTCAAATGGGTCATTTTTCTGAGCCCGGCACATTTCGCGCAGGGGAAACGGGGAGAGGGGATTGAGGATCAATCAATAAAGAGTGGTGTGATAAAACCCGTTCTTTTTTGGCACCAATTCAAAATAGGAATTGACTAACGCACTGCGGGTCTTACTGCAAATCAAGGGCCTGGGAACCACGATGACATGTCATTTTTAGTAGTAGACCACCCGGTTGTTGGGTACCGGCAATGTACGTAAGATACTCATCAGCCAGGAGGTTGGGATGAAAAACTGGGGATTCCATGGGCTTAAAACTGGCGGTCCAAAAGTGGTACCCCAGCTGGCTGGCAAGTAGCATGCTGGCCCATTCCTGGCAGGGCGTTTTTTGAAAACTGGAAGAGCCCCAAACTTCAGCTGTGTATCATGAACATTGTTGGCAATTCCTGCAGTTTTTGCCGAAATACATGGAACTCCTTAGTGTCCTTAATTTCACGGAACTTTCCCCAGCTTTTTTATCCCTTCCGAATCACCGGTGCTGCCCCCCCAGATACAAGGGGGGGTAAATTGGGTAGATATAGAGGTAAAATTACCATTAATTACCAAGTGCCCCCCCGGGGTTGCTATCACTCTACACTAACTTACACTTTATCGGATCAACCCTGAAAATGGTGGTCAAATATTAGCACACTTATACTCAGTTTTATATCCACATGAAAATTCTTCCATGAAATCACCTTTGTTTACGATTTATAGATGTTTTTAACAATCAACCCATTCCCCCATTCCCCAGTATGCACCAGTATGTACTTTACCAGATGGTAAAACCACAATAAAATCCACCATGAAAATGGTGTTTACTACTTAACTCCCACGTTTTTTTTCACCAATGAAATCCCCAATTTCTATCGCCATTGAATCACCACTAAATCACCATAAACCCACCATTCCATGGTGTTTCCCAGTGGAAAACACGCCGTCCTGGCGATGCCAGAGGCCGACTTCCTGTCCGGCCGCCAAGTAGGATTTCACCTGACAGGAGGTTTCACCAAGGACAATGGGGATGTTTTTAAGCAACACAAGTGGTGATTTCATGGGATTTCATGGGTTTAACCAAGAAAAAGTGATGGTTTAAACAACTAAGAATTGAGAGTTGGTAGTTTGATCAAGAACAATGGTGGTATAAATAAACACAAGTGGGGTTTTGAACACCGGGGCTTGATTTATTGAAAGAAAGGATCTAACAATCATTTGGTGGTTCAAGCAACTAAGAATTGAGATTGAAGCAACATAGAAGTTAAGCCTGCAGTAACTGGGCAGTTTTCGATCTACAGTATCTGATCTAACCAAGCCTTGGTGGTTTAGGCAACACACGGGGGATTTTTATGTAGGGGAGAACCAACAACGGCCGGTCGGGCTGTAAACGCGCGCCGATAGGTGCCATCATCTATGTGAACACGATGAATGATGAAGACAGTTTGTTGCTACTCACAGTGATCACCCTTTTTTTTCACCTTTAGGGCAGCCAGGCATTGTCTTTGGCCAGGTCGGACATGTCAGCTGGTTGAAGTCCTATCTGCTTTTTTTCGGTCTTTGCAGTATTCTGCAAAGGCCGCCAAAAGAGTAATCAAACCTGGTTTCAAAAAGAATGAAAGCGTATCAACCCGCATGTCGCTTCATGTACATGAACAATGAGAAGCGTAGCAGCAAAAGTATCAACTCATGTACCACGAAGAGTGCACAGCGTAGCAACCCGCATGTCTCTTCATTAACATGAAACATCAAGAACGTACGATCAAGAACATTCCCATCGCCCCTCCCCACCCACCCCCCAAGCAATGACCAGCGTAGCAACATGAATGTCACTTCATGAAGAGCAAGCGCCAGGAACCTTATCAGCCCCACTCCCCCCTACCCAATCCGAAACACCGACGTAGCGCCGTGCCTTAGCGCCGTGCCTATGGGAAGTGCATTCAAACAAGTGCACGTTTTCAGCCCGACCGAGCCACCAACAAACATGTAGATTTTCATCAGCTGCAGGAAATTTCAGCAAATTTGACCCACACCAGATACTGTGGATGGTTGCGAAATCCTGCACTAGCTGATAGATGGTTCATCCCACTATAATCCTATTGTTTACAGTGTTTCATAGTTACTAATATTTACCAACTGGTGCGGGATTTTGTTCATCCACAGTATCATCAAACTGCTCATAGATTTCAATCGTCTTTTACCAAGGAGTTGATTGGGGATGGGCCCCGTACTTGCACCCACGATCAGGGGGATCCCCAGAAACCATGGGTTTCAATACTAAAATGGTTTGATTTTAGATGGTTTGGGGTACCCCCCCATTTTAGGAAAGAAACCTCCATTTTGAACCACGAGCCTGTTTGATGTTTGGGCATGGGTCTACATTTCATGGGGATCACAGATTGACTGGTCAGTCTTAGAAATTTTGGCTACCACATGATACACCCATCGGCAAGACACAACAGGTTCGATCCACTCTCCTGTCTGTATTCCCATCCCCAGTTGTTTTTGTTGGTTCTATCTCCATCTTTGATTTCAATGCCACATTCTTAGTGGTTACCCTCCAGAAAACCTAACAAACCCAACTGAAAATCACCAATTTGACCGGGATTTTCCAGGAATTTCCATAGCCAGGATGCCAGGATTGGATCATCAGAGGCTCTACCCCGCCTCATCGTTCAACGCTGGCACCATCCAGGTATGACTGAAGAGTGGCAACGGACACAGCTCCTAAGTGGCGGCGCCAAACATTTCGTGCCACTTCCAGATGGGTAAAATGGATTTTGTGGTGATTCCATATCATAGAAATAGATTATAGTCATAGCTATGGTTAGTTTCCAAGTGAGAAGTGGATATATGACGATACTTACAAGGGTTATATCCCAACAAAGGTGGGCTCAACATCGGGGCTGAAACAAACCCACCTTTTTTTGGGTGATGTATGGAATTCAGCCTTTCCAGCTTTTGGGCAAAACACATGTGCCACAAACAAGACTTGCAAATCTATGGTTTATTGAGTTTATTTGTAGAAACTTTGGTGAAACCCCAAAAACGCATGGTGAAGTGGAAACACGGTGTCTTTCCTCCCCTACAAACTGGCCACACCCCCGAGCCAGCAACACAGAACGATTGCTACCAGGGTGCAGTCATCCTGCCGCTGGATCATGGGGGATACACAGTGGGATGTAATGGGGTATACAGCCCACTATGATATGTTACAAGGTGATGCCTTGTAAAGTAAACAAAGTCGCGGCTAGTCACTGCTTTCACTATGTTTAAGGAACACATACGGTGAAATCACAAACATGTTGGGTGATGTTGGGTGAAGATGAAGCAACATACGGTTGTCGGCACCACCTTGTACTATCCAACAGTAGGGGTGCTCGGGACTGGAATGGCCCGACGACCGGATTGGGGGATCAGATTGTGAATAATCAATATCCGACGTATTTAACCGATGAATACAACCCATGCACCATTGTAACCCAGTAATATTCCACTCATCTATTATTAATTATTAACAATTTTAATGGCATGTCCGTGGGCTGTTGGTGTATCCCAAGCGTAAACTAATCACTGTAATCCACTAAATTAGTATTGAGCACAAACCATCATTAGTCATTGTATTGTCCATTATAAACCCATCAATGTATCAATACAATGATTGTAATGGTCAACTCAGAATCATGAGAAAGGGGTCATTGGTCTAATATCTATGAACATACATTACCATTCTTCTGGATAAATTATCATATTTCACAAAGCTGAAAAGTTGCGGCCATAAAAGGGGGTGATTCCCCTTTTTTCAGTCACCATGATTCCAGGCTTCGGTCATGACATGAGATCACTATTTACCCGGGATTTTTTTTGGGTGATTCATCCCATTAAACCCATGAACATCGCATCATTCATCGATGGTGTCATTCTTTGTTGGATCCCATGAAACATCCCATCATTTTTTCCATGAAATCAGCAATAAATCACCATAAATCACCATTAAATCACCATTAATCGATTTCAAAATTGTTTTCCATGAGATCAGCAATCCCATTGATCCATTGTTGATATTTTGGAAACAATTTTGGCTTCTGATATCTACCCATGATTTTCCAACATCTGTGATCCCGTACGCCAAGATCTGTTGCACCTGACCCTAAAGATGATCACTACATTAACCACGAATGAGATTGCAGTATAATTGATTATTGTAGTTCATTACTATTCATACAATTTAATTTAAATCATCATTAAGCTTAAATCATCATTACATTATCACTTATTGATTGATTATTCATACAATTTAATACATCAGTACCACTACTGGTTGGTGGTATACCTACCCCTCTGAAAAATATGAAAGTCAATTGGGAAGGATTATGCCATATATGAAATGGAAAAATGAAATCCATGTTCCAAACCACCAACCAGATTATGATTAATGTGATCCTAACTGTTAAACCCAGAATCCACATCCAAAATCCCCAGCGCCAAGGGCCGCACTCAGCGAGTCGCTGCTCACACTCCGCGGCCTGATGTCGACTTAGCTGCGACAAAGCCCGAACCATGCTTGTGGTGCAAAATCTAGGGATTTAAGCATTGGAAATGGGATATATATATAATAATAAGGGGATTTAATGGGATTCAATTGGATTTGAACCTGCTAGGTATGTTCGTTGCTTTATGCTCACGCATCTAACTATACGCACAGACCCTGTGGTTTGCCCGAATGCAACATGGAGGATGCCTTGTTGTTGAACATGATAAGATAGATTGCAGAAAATTCAGCAGATACCCAGTGTTTTCTGGTTTAGGATTCAAAGTTTTCAGGGTTTAGGGTTTTCGGGTTTCAGAGTTTAGGGTTTTAGGGTTTGGCGTTTTAGGATTTAGAATTTAGGGTTTAGGTTTCGTCTGGGAAATACCAAAACACTGGCCTTGCGCAGGTATTTGAGCATGTCGAAGGAGAATGTTCGAACACCGTTCTAATCTTCCGGGCAAACCATAGGGTCTTGCCGTAACTATATTTATAATCACTGTAAACCCAACAGTTCAGCCAGTTCAAAGCCAACTTAGCAAACGACCTGGGGCACCACCTTGTACCCTCAATGATACGCCAAACGGCTGTAAATGGCAAACCATCAGGCATTCAGCCGGCGTTGTCCCATATCCAGCAGCTCATCATCCAACTGTTCAAGTTGCCCCTATAGGCCTTTGGAACAAAAATCCGTTCTAGCACCGGGCCGGCCGGGCTGATCAAAAACTCCACGAGTCACACGTCAAATGGACACTCGTGGCTTGCCACCGTATCCAAACCCGACAAAATGCTATGGGAAAGTGCTGGTTTTCCCCAAGGAAGATGATCAATGGTGGAGTTTCCACATGATGTTTTTCCATATGGACACAACGAACACAACGAGAGTTAGGATGCTTAAAAGATCACGCGGATTCACCGGGTAAACCATCGTGAAAACACTGAAATTCTGGTAAGCGGTTCAGATTTGGGGAGAGGGAAATCGCAAAAAAGTTATGGCATGCGAAGAAAACACCAGGATTTTAAGATGATTTTCCTCTGCCTCTTGTTTCGACAATTGTCTTGCTAGTACTTGGATGTGGAGTCAAGTGGCTAACAACTCATTTAAGGGTATTCCCGAAACACCATGGCAACACCCAAAGTTATCATGATAAATAAATCATTTTCAATAATGGGAAGCACGTGATCTTAGGCTACCCCAATTCTAAGAAACTCCAATTTACCACAAATGATGGTGTAGCATCATTCTTTCAATAAACAAAGAGGCATTACCTGGGGGGTTCTACAACATTCTCAAGTAACATCGCACATCATAATAAAGAGGTTAGTTATATAGTCCATGTCCCATAATGGCTCATCATGACCCACGTGTCGGGAGTTGGGGAGTATACACAATTTTCAAACAAACCCAAATATCATAGTAAGCAGGCAATATATCCTGGGAAATATATATTGCCAATGGGAAAACAAACCCAAATATATCCGTGAAATGTCAAATGTCAATATATATTTCCCAATGTGCAAACAAACCCAAATATCATTATATCCCATAGTTGATATTCACTGGGAAAAAAGCCACTGGCTGATCACTTCCCCGCCAAGGTACGAGCGGATGACCCGTGGCCCGTAGAACCAATGGCAGCGGCGTTTTCAGCACCTGGCGAGCCAGTGAAGTCATGCGGGATGAAATGACGCATGGTCATCCCATCCCAATATACAGGGAATCCGAAAAAAAGGTGGGTTTTTTACAATGTCATACATCACCCATTCCAAAATGATAACCATACCACCTATTAAAATGGTGATGACTGGGGGATGATCTTCCGAGCTTTCGCTGCGGGGATTTGACCTCCATGAAACAACCATGACATCAATGGGAGATCTCCGGGATCCTAAAATGGAGGTACGTTAGTACCATATTTTGGGCCATATTTTGGGATATTCCCTTACATAGGCCTTATGTAGGCCTTATATATGGTAGGTACCTCCAATCAATCGGTTCCTGAAATGGCCAGTGATGACATAGAGACTAGCTCTGCATAATCATACTATCACCCAGTCATGGTGCACTTATCCCCCAACATTTTTTTTTTGGATGCACATCCAGGTGCCAGCGAAAAATAGGGCTTGCTTTTCTCCAAATTCAACTGGCAGATAACTGGTACTGCAAGGGGGGTTATGATTCAGTTGATGAAATCCCACCATTTATCCCATTCATATCCCCATAAACCACTATAAAATCCCAATCGATCAGAAACCCCTATTAACCCACCATAAGCCCACCATTTATCCCATTCATGCCCAATAAATACTTCATTCAAATCTAAAGATCCCAATGGATCACTATAAAATCCCATGAAACTGCCATTTGTCTCCCTATTCATTAGCCTTATAAGCTATATGATCATTAACCCCAGTTGGTTTAACCATCATTTAGTTGCAATGATAGTGCTAAATGATGGCGGTTAACGAATTCTGATGGTTCTTAACCGCCACCATTATGAGTGCTAAACCAATTATGGTTAAATGGTGGTAATAACCATATCAACTTATGATGGCAATACCCTCTGGTAATTTAACATAGCTGTTGAAAATGGTCCATTTATCATTGATTTACCTATTAATCATGGTGATTTTCCATAGCTATGTTAGTCTATTGAATAGCTGGCACATAGACAAATCATAACACTAATTATAATGTTATTACGTTATTGTGGCTAATAATCAGCTAATCATGTTATAACTAACTATGATGGTCAACAACTAATAATTGTTAGTGTGGTAATAATCAACTTATGATGGCAATAACACTGTTGCTGCTCAAACCTCTAGAGTGCGCCTCGTAAGCGCTTTGCCACAGGGTCTCAGGGGCGATGCCTTGCTCGCTGTAGTAGCGGCCTAGGGAAAAGATCCCGGCGATGTTTTTTTTATGGCAAAAAAGGGTGGTTTAACCATCAGAAACCACGAGAAAATGCTGGTTTGATGGTGAGAAACCCATGAAAAAGTCGAGATTCAAGACTGAAATGATGGTTTAATGATGAGAAAACAAATGAACAAGTAGAGATTTTACCAATGAACAATGGGGTTCTAACCAGCAAACATTCGGATTTTAAGGAGCTAAACTCGGATTTAGCCATGACAAATTAGGATTCAATCCAAAAAGACATGCAACCTAGTAGTATCTAATTTGGGACGCCTTTATTTTTTTCACCAAAAATGTTGGATATTTTCTGTCAAGTCTAGGGCGGTACAATTTAATGGACACTGTGGGTGGGTAGTTGTCCCAACAACAATGGGAATTATTGTTGTAAGGGCTATCATGGGTTATTAACCATCAACAATAGGGATTAAATAGGATTATTAGAAGGATACTGGGGACTAATATGTTATCACGTTTTTTTTTCACTAACCAACCATTAATATTTGGTATTCGGATGTATAGCTATGAACTAATGGGATATTGCTATAATAGGAAATATGTAGCTAGTAATGACTTCAAACAGTCCCCAAAAACGATAGTGGATGTGGGTGATTTACACATATTTCAGACCAAAGAATCGGGGTGTTTCATATTTGCACAAAGGGACAGGTATTCAACCCATTCCTAGTTGTTGTTTTTTGTGGGCTGGCAGTGTGGACCTAGATCCAAAGAGTGACACAGTGTTGAAAGCCCTTTACCCTCTGGTAAACATACAAAAAACTATGGAAAATCACAATCTCTAATGGGAACTTCCACTATTTTTTTAAGCAATTTTCAAGTTCGCAAACTCTTTGTTTACCAGGCCGGGTATCATTCCTTTCCGCTGGCATTCTTACGGTGGTCTCAAGGGGAAAACGATCCATGTTTGACCTTCAGGTTGCTGAAGGGTACTGAAAAAGTAAGTTTTTGGTATTGAGTTCTGTATAAACTCAGATTGGAATGGAATTCGATATGACCTGCCATACTTGTGGAATTCGTATATCTTCATATACACACGGGAAAGTATCTGAGAATCTTCACATCATCCATGGACCTTTCCATTGCCACATTGCCAAAGGGCGAATCCCAAGCTTGGATGGTATGGAATTTCCCAATCATGGATGGCATTCGCCACATCAACATACGATCCAGGATTGATATTAGTGTCAACCCTGGATTAATAACACTCTAGACTGCTTAATTTGGGGGTACCAATTAAATATCAGATTGATTCATATTGTCATATATCATCACTAATTTGGAGGGACCCTGAGAATTAATAAACCATGGTTTATAAATCCAGGATTGATATTACAGGTATTGCAGGGTGTACCTGGAGTTGGGTTTCGGGGCTGTGTTTATTCGGGCATTCAACCACCAGTTTCCTAGGGAACCCGCAGCGACAACAAAACACATTATACATGGAATGTGATACTGTGGATGGCGTAGATTGGGAGCTTATCAATCTGGTGTTACCATGCTCCCTAATATCTTGGCAAACTCCGTTTATTTCCTCAATATATCCCAAGAGTGAAATGGGTACCCTGGCAACTACCAAATATGGATGTTTCCTAAAATGGGATGCCCTAAATCATCCAAACTTAGACCATTTTAGTATTAAAACACCATTTGGTTTTTCGGATCCACATTTTAAGAAGCCACCATTTTGCTTTATCACTGGACAACAATCATTGTAGCATCCCATCCAGATGGACCACAGAGCCAAGTTCAATCGCTGGGTTCTACGCATGAGAAGCCAGTTAAAAAGGGGATTAACTGGTGAATGGACTAGCTATGAACCAGTTCACTACCAGTTAGTATGGGGATATAACCAATGAACGGGGGATTGAATAGCTGACCCATTCATCCTGTTAATCAGTATTAACTGGTTGGTCATTACATGTACTGGTTGGCCAGCACATATTCTGATGGCCAGTACAAGCCACTATATGACACTATAATTTTTCCATTCTCTCGCATCTGAGTCCAGCTCGTGCGTTTCATGCACCCAATTGCCTAACCTTGAAAATCAGGGAGGTATTTCCCAGAAAGGTTGGCTTCTGTTGCAGCTGCATGCAAATTAGTGACCCATGTCTGTTCGTCATGGGTCAGGCTCTGAGCATTCACAGAGCCATGCTGACTCAGCCTGTGCCGAATGCCGGTCAGCGTGGCAATGATGAGAGCTCTACAAAGTCGCGGCGGGTATTCCTTAGCCGCTGCAGTCCTAAAGGATCCATCTTGGTCCCGGCCACAAAGCGATGTGTGCGGACGAATTGCTAAAGGGTCACTCTGGTCATGTAGCACACCAGCAACCAGAGCGGGAGGCCCCAAGTGGATCGCTCTCAATGTGGTTGGCTTCACGCCGACCGCTCCAAATCTCCATTGCTCAATACGATGTCGAAAGGCATCTGGAAGGTGCATCATCCATTCCTCATGACAAGGCAACCTCCACGTCGATACCTTTTGTTCATCTGGCGGCTCAGTCGGGTGTTCCATGATAGTGCCAGCACCCGCAAGAACCAGTTCAGCTTCAGCAATGTAGGAATGAAGAAGCAGTCGTGAGCCAATCATGGTTTGAAAGAGTTCACGTAGACCACGATTTTCAAGAAGCCAAGGGAGCTCTGCTGACCGTAGGGGTCGAGGCTGTCTGCCTTCAAGCTTCAAATGTCGCGCCGCACTGAACGTCTCGCAGGGTGGCCCTGTGAGCCCAGCCGCAAAGAAGCCCTTGCGGATGATACGTAGCAAACGCATGAAAACAGGTCCACGATCAAGATTGCCATGAACCCCATGAATCGCTGTATCCACGGAAAGAATGCGAATGACATATCCTGGTAGAACTCCTGTGCAACACTCACTCCAAAAATGACAATCCCCACGTCGTCTGCGACCGCTAAATAGGTGAAGCACCCAAATAGTAGGTTGCCCATCAACAACATGTACTGGCACCAAAGGACATGAAGAAGAGGTGGCAATAGGATGGAGCACATGCTGCAGACACGACCGTTGGTACCTGACAGGGTTGAGCAGGGGTTCAAGGTCACGAACCGCAGCCTCAATATGCTCATCAGCAGGCGTGACTTTTGGATGAAATGCTGTGGAGATCCGAAAATGCCACGCAAGCAAGCGCCCAATGGGCGAATCGAAGACAATCGTCTGGATTTCCGTCTTGGCACGCTGGAAAATCATCTGTGGTAAATGATCAAAACGTTGAAATCTGAGATGTTCACGGCACCACAAAAACAGAGCCCATTCACGATCTGAGTCCCAAGCCAGAGAAGTCAAGTGAAAAATCAATCCATCATAATCTGGACGAGGAAACGGTTGCCATGCTTTCATGATCGTGTCGGCTTGCACGATAATCTCATTTCTCACATGCTCAGGTAGGCAAGGTGGAAAACCTTCATCATCCCAAGCTCGCTGCAACATCTGTTCGGCATCAACACGCGTAGCGATCTGATATTCATGCACCGATGTCTGCGGCATGGGAACAACTTGAGCCGGGAGTCGTTGGAAACCGCGTAGGTCAGCTGGCACATTGACCACACACTGGTCGTTCAACGGAGCATATCTCCATGTCAATTGCTCATAGCATCCTCCAGGAGTCTGTCGTGAGAGCCGCAAATGCTGTTGAAGGCGCGCTGCAGTCCAGAAACATTTGTGACAAGCCAAACATGTATCTGAGAAAACAAATCGACGTTCCTCAGAAATAATCTGATGAGCTGTCCACAAATGAGCTTGTAGTTTTTGGGAAGAATCAAACTGCATAGCACACCATTCACAAGAAAACAGCTGATCATGAGGATGCGAGGGCGCAATGTCAGTGTTGACAAAAGTGATTCCTCCATGCTGCAACGTTTCCCGGAGCTGCTTGTGAAGGGCAACCACATCTCCAACAACATGAAATTGCATGATACAACGTTGGAAAAGCCTCTTAACCGTGGATGGTCCAGAGCTCTTGGTCGAAACAAACCAACTCAAAATACGTTCAGGGGATGCAGTTGCAAGCTCAACAGGACAAAAGTCTGCGTCCATGTCAGCGAGCCATCGAAGGGCTTGTCGCAATCCTGCAAACCATCCTTGAGGTAGATGAGCAATGGAAGTAACAAAGTCAACCAAGATCTGTGGACCCTCAGTAAAGCAATGAAATGCATGAAGAAGCCTTGCTTTGGCAAGTCTAAGCGCCAAAGGAGGAAGCTTCCAACGGCATTGAAGCTCAAAATCAGTGTGCTGGTTGTCAGTCCAGCATCCATCATTGATAATGATGCGTTGCCAACTCATGATGCGTGCATGAAGCCCTTGAAAAGAGCGCGTAGGCAACAAGTCCCAATTCCCAGCTCCGTGCATCAGCACAGGAATAATGAGACTTTCAAACAACTTCAATCGAGTGGCTGCATCGATATGTCGATTCTTCAAGATGGATTTCCCGACCAGGCGAAAAGCTTGAGTGGCCTTCATTTTCCGGTGGGCGATGTCGCGTTGCAAGGTGCAATCCGCAGCAAACATAGTGCCCAAATGTTCATAGGAAGCCAGACATTTGAGATGCAACTGAAGTGAAGGAATATCCAAATGTCCCAAACGCTCGACAAAGAGGGAGTGTCGGAGCTTGGGGGCATCAAGTGCCCGAAAGGAAACAAGCACTTCAGTCTTCTTGGCTTTGTAGTTCAATTCAAGGCCGAAACGAAGAAAGGCATGATGTGTGACTTGCACAATTTGATCAATAGTGGATTCAAGTGCAGTCCCATGCGATACCACAATAGGAATGGCAACGTCATCGACCCAAGCGACCGGAGGCGCCTTCAGTCCTAGCGACAGGAAACCTGCCTGCAAAGGTCCAACGCCCGCCAGGCATTCATCAAGGGCTTCAAGAACATGAGTCATGAGTGCATTAAATGCTATATCAGCAAGAGGAGAACCAGGGCGGCTTCCCCTTGCAGTGCAA